GGAGGGGTTAGTATGACGCGTCAGCCGATTGTGGTTCAATCCGCCATGCAAGTCTTTCCTTTTTCTCTTCTTCTCTGTCCCTAGAAAGAAAAAAAGGATTCATAGTGAGACGAGGATCCTACATTTGAACACGAGTAAGAAGACACAACACATATCGCATTCGCAAACCTACAGAGACAAAAAAGACGTGACAAGCCAAGCCAAGCCACGCCAGCTAGCCAACCAGCCAGCGCAGCCAGCCAGCCACAACACCACCGGGCAAATCTTCCCAGGCCCCAGTACGGGCCAGCAGCCCCAAAGCAAGTGAGTGGGGAACAGAGCTTACGAGTCCCTCATCAAGACGGACCCACCAAGCAAAGGGGGGGAGGGGGTGGATGGGAATCTAGAAGCCTGCCTGTCACCAATTGGACGACGATCAATTCCGGGTCCTTAGGAAAGACGCTTGATTTTAAACATGATTAAGAGAAAAGAGAACCAGGAAAACCCACACAGGAGGAACTAGCGCTAGGGGCTCTTAGTCCCATTGTGCGCATGTCATTCCGCATCGGGGTCGTCCCTGCCTGAGAACTTTACTGTACTAGGTACCATTGCTCGGGGGTTCCTACCTGGTCAAACTTCCTTCCAGGTGGGAGTGGGTTGGTCGGTGGTCATTCGTCATTTGCGACTTCTCGTGCTTTTCCATCACAGGTTCGGCTAGGGAACGAACGGCATAACCGCGCCCCAAGATGACAAGGCTGATGTGTTGTCGATCCGCCTAGATAATGAGCAGCAGTGATTCATACTTTGGTCAGTCCAGTCGATCGTTTGGATCTTGCTCACTCTAAACAGATCCACGGCCACAAATAGACACCGCACACAAAAAGCAAATACCATGGTACACCACCTACGCGCAGGAGCAGCACAGAGAAGCTTCGAGGCTGTTGTTCGTGTCCCCATCGTCCTCTTCTCTCTCTCGGGACGTTCGACTCATCAAACCCAAATCCCGTTACAAGAACGAGGTGCCACCAAGAAACGTTGACGGGTGGAACGTGTTAACGTGCATGTCTCGACCGCAAAGAGCGGGGAAGATTCTCCTGCTTTTGTGTATGTGCATCTCTTGGTGGTAGAGCATGCCATTATTGTTCTCTGTTATGACTTACTACGGTATAATACATGAGCTGCCTGCTATATATCCACACTGACGCCAGAGAAGGTGTTGGTGGAGGAAGGAGGAAGAACTGCCTGCATACTGAGCTACTTACAAGCTTGGTTCGACATCGGGTTTCAACCTTCTGGAATCACTGCTCGTGCGACCACTGCTGATCAACGTCGTACCTGGGCGTCGACGATTGCCTTTTTCGATCATCTGCGCGCGAGATGATGGTCTCGGGGCCATACATGCGTTGTCGCGCATGCCCGTGACTCTCTTCCTCGCTCTCTCCTCTAACATTATATGTGGGCCGATAGAACCCCCACACAGCTTACTACGTATTTACTCCAGAGGTCACGAGCAAATCATCAGCATTACCATCAGCAAACTGCCTTGCTTGCTTACTGTGAGAACGAAAGAAGACAGAAGGCCGTGGGAATGAGAGATCAACAAGATATGGCCCCAGCCCTTCCTCCTCGTTTTCCCCAAGTGAGAAATGATGATAAGGCATACCACACGCACGCGCAAACACACAAAAATATGAAGTGCCCACGGAGCTGAGCACCGGAGCGTCTTCGGCGAATTGCGGCCCAAGGGATCTTGTGCATGTGTCCTGTGCCATGTTGTTGTCTCCAAAAAAGAATGAATGTACACACGCCCAGCTGAAATGTGGCCGGATGGAGCAGGGGGGCCACAAACCCTCGCACCGTCTCACCTGCATGGCCTTCCCCCCTCTCAATCCTCACGGCACATCGACTACCACAGACCATGCAAAATGGACCCTGTCTCTGCTCGTTCACTAAACCACCACGCCCCAAAGAAGGAGTCCCAATCCGCTTTTCTTCCTCCCCCTCTCTGCCTGTCTCCATCCTTGGCCCCCCCCCCCCAATGTCAGGACCCAACAATTAAAGAATAAGAAAAATAGTGCTATTTATTCCCCAAGCCAAAGAAGGTTGGTTGGGTTGGTCATGAGCAGGTTTGTACTATGGTACATTCCATGGTACAGTATTTTACACCCGGGCGTGCCGTGGTAACCGAACTCGATACCGAGAAACCAAGAGAGGAGAGGGTGGGCGGCGGGGGAAACACAACATCGAGAGGCTCTTTGCATAGACGAGATCGATCTCCCTGGTACCGACGTGCTGGGTGGCGAATAAGAAAGAAACCAAAAACGGGTAGCGAATGCGGCTGCCCGGGATTCCCTTTTGTCCTTCTCCTCTTTTGCCCTTTGTTTTCTGACTAGATACGGCGAACTAAGCTTGCTCAGCGATCTCACTGTATCTCACCTCAACCTTGTGTCCGTCTTTTGATGATGGCGCTCGGGGGCGGGGTGTCTACTTTGTCACAACATTGTGCCGTTTCATCCGAGCCTGGATATTTATTAATCAATTCCTCTCTGTTTTCTTAGGTAGATCATGAAGAGAAAAGCGGGTGGGGACTGCCATAGCCAGCACACGCCTCCTACTGAACCCCCAGACATATCGGGGGAAATAAATCCTGTTGGCTATATAAAAAAGTGGCACCTTTGAAATCAAAGATCATCACTTTGCAATAAAATGTGAAGAAAGAAAAGGGAGGGAGGAGGGAGGAGAGGGAGGGCAGGGGGGGCAGGGAGGCAGGGACGGGAAAGTTTGTCTTGGAGGATTAGGTGGTGTGTGCAACGGGGGCGGCAGACATGACAAAAGAAGGTTATTTGTTAGTTTGTCTTGGCAGCGGCTCGTCGATTTGGTCAGCTGGAATGCTGGAGGCTGCCGCTAAAGGAGGAGCCAAGGCTAAGGTCAGCAGGCCAAGCATAGTCTATGTTTTTTTTTGTTTTTTTTTTTTTTTTTTTTTAATTTCACCCCGATTCAATCTCTTTTAGTTTGTCCGTCCAGGAGGAGGCCAAGGAAACATAGCAAGACGAGGAACGGAAAAAGAAGAGAGGGAGAAAGGATGAAAGGTATTGAGACCGTGAGTGGAACCAGAAATACCGTGCGTACCGGTGCAGGTGCACGAATAGGCTCAGTAAGTAGTAGTGTTGTTGTACCATAGCAAAAGTACTATGGTACAGCATGTGGGCACCGACCGGGCCTTGCTTGGCATTGTCTGAGCACGATATCACGGGAAGAGAATGCGATGATAATGAAAGAAAGGAGGCATGCATGCATGCATCATCATTATCAACCCGCCGCAGCCCGTACTATGGTAGCCTCGCTCGGCGTTTGTCTTTAAGGTTCTTAACCTTGTCTTGGCCTCATTTCTCATCTACTTCACGCACACATATGCGCGCTCTCTGTCTCCCTTTCCCTTCTGAAAAGAGGCTTGGTCTAAGTTTGACTTGAGACTATCCCTACTAGCACTGATGCTGACGTGGACGTTTTGCTCGTGAACGCATCATAGCAAATCTATTCCTCTCTCAACTTATTCAGCCCCCCCCCCCCTCTCCAAAAAAAAAAAAATCAAAATCCGGGTTGCTTGGCAGACCGCCATCCTCCGAGCCGACATTGCCGATCAGTACAGCCTGGAGAGCAGAGACAACTCGACTCATGCTCGACACACGCGCGCACACACACCAACTCAGCCTGGATCTAATAGAGCCTGTTCTGAATCGAAGATCGGGAGGTTGGCCAAGAACGGAAGAGAGTAAACCCCCCGAAAAAGACCATACAAGGGTTTGCCCCTTCACATTCTCTCTCTGTCGGCTTTCTTTCTTGCTTTCTTTGTATTGTTGACCCTAGGTTTCGGAGATCCGCGCCCAGCCTTCTGGGCGTCTGCATCCCAAGTATCCCTCCCCCCCTCACCATTTCCTGCCGCTCTGCATAGCCCAGCAGGACAAGGGCTTCTGTCTTGGTGCAGCCCTGCCCAAAACTGGATCCACGTCTACCACCCAGATAAGGCTTGACATCGGCAATCAGGGTTCCAGGGGTTTCTGGCGAGGGTAAGCCCCCCCCCCCCCGGGGCCAGCACGTCGATCAATCTCAGACAAGGACAGTTCCTTAAAAAAGAAAAGAAGAAACAAAAAAAAGTATGCATGACAAGCTCTAAGCTGCTGGCTGCTATAGCCACCTAACCATATACTATACAAGTTATACCATGAGAATCAATAGTAGTAATATTCAGGGTTCAGATTCAGAGTTTAACGTTTTTAAAGGCCCGAACGCCCGGTCAATAGATGATCGACCCGACGGAGATACGATCCCCCAACAAACAACACGAGTCGGGGCAGCACCAAGCCGGGGTTTGACGGCGACGACGACGACGACGACGACGACGACGACGAGGCCCCTTTGTCCAAGCCTCAACGGCTCAAAAGAGGCAGCAGGGGAGAGAGGAAAGGGCGGCACGCGCAAGAACTGCAAAGGGGGCTGCGACGATAGATTTCTCGATTTCCCTTTTCTTCACCCGACTAGCTGGCCTTGGCTGCAACCAGTCAAGCCAAACGGGCGGTGCGGAGGAGACACCGAAGTGATGCATGGTAGCCCGTGTACACATCGGCCGTGACTTCCTCGCGGGAAAGCCAGATCCGCATAGAGCCCCATTTGTTCTGCGGACTCGGCATCAAAAGGTAATCGCGAAAAGGGTCCAAGAAAGGTTTAGTTGTAAGGTTTGCTATCAAAGGTAAGTCCAGTACACCCTGGATGAAGATGACGGAAAGCGAATGCGAGGTACACACAAAAGTAGAGACAGAGAGCGAAGGAAAGAAGGACCAAGGAGAGGACGGCAGGAGCAATGCCAAGGTGACGACGCCCACATTCCGGACGTGTCATGTCATTAACATCAGTGTTCTTTCTCCCAGGGGTCCAAACAACCTCAGCATCAAGCTTCCAATCACCCACCCGCAGCCTTCACATCACCCACCCGCAGCCTTCACATCACCCTCGTCCCCATTCATATGGAAGACCACAGCAATAACAACGGGGCGCCTCCAGTTCTTCCTCATTCTCTTGTCTCTGGAACAAAAACAGAAGAAAAGAATACCCATCCCGTCATCAAACTACAACATCATCATCATCATCAACAACAACAACAACAACAACAACAACAACAACAACAGCATCATCACATTCTTGGCAACATTGTCACGTCAAGGCCTAATTTGGGATGCTTGGTACGGCCTACCGAAACGACCAACCTGCTTGGCAACTCAGACTGTTGGTATGACTTATCCTCCACCAATGCACCATCGCGTACTGGTGTGCTCTTATTTTTGAAGCATTTATCCACACAGACCCCACTATCCTCACAGCTCCCAGCGGTTGGACAGCATAACAGCTAGTGAGCCACCTAGCTGGATAAGTGATTCCCCCCTCCTCCCAATCAGCCCTGTCAGACCTTCAAAAAAGATCCTAGCTAGCTGTTTTGCTTGGCGTAGGATGAGCGCAGCCCAGCTCCCCACCTCTTTCCCTCACAAATTACCTCCTAGGCTTCCACACCTAGGGGTTAGGCCCATTTGAAGCTTCTTATGGTCTCTTACGGATGCAAGACAAGACTGTTTACTGAATCTGGGGTAGGGTTCATACGATTGTTTGACTTATTAGTGCCTCAACTTTAACCAGCCCGTCCCGTATTCTCCCATTCTCCCTTTGCCTTTATTCCATTGCTTATTTATCCCAGCCGCTGAGCCCTGCTCCCTCCGAGACCTTGGACCTTCCCCTCCACCTGAACCTCCCTGGCCCCCCTCTTCTTACATACTACCAGCTCTTCCACTCAACTTCTCTGATCCTCCTATTTACCACCGAACCTCGACAACAAAAAAGTCCTCATTGGGGGGAAAAGAAGAAGAAGAAAAAGAGCGAAAATCGATTCCTCTGGGGCAGAGCCTACAAAACAGGACCCAGCCGTTCAAATTGCAACTGGTACGGCGGATTCAGATTCGATTCTCACCCAACTCCCTCCAACTTGACTCGGCTCGATTAGGCCCAGTGGGGAGGTTAGGCGGTATATCAAAAAATAGATTAACCTTAAAAGTTCCGCGACAGCCTCACATCAGCTTAAACGTCTCAGCACACGTCAGTCGCCAACCGTTCCTGTCGACGTCAAACTTTTTTGCGGCATCTCATCTGAAGTCGGAAGCTACTACAGCGGGTACGTTCTCAATTGCCTGTACTTTTCGCATCTTGTCTAGCTTTGCATCGCATGCGTGTCCCATGTCAGCAGCACCATTATGCGTGTGTTGCGTTCCCTTCACACTCGTCCACTATTTCCTCCCTTCCCTTGCCTTGCTCAACGCCTCACTGCTACCGCGTCTCATCATCATCATGCCCTGTCTGGTTGCCCTTCCTCCCTGAGAGGGCCCTTTCTTCCGACATAGTTCTCTCCCAGCAGCCCGAGACATCTCTGTGAGAATACACCTCTCCTAGTCGACCTTTCGGAGTTGGGGTCATCATATGACGAGATGGACAAAACTGGATTATACCCTGTAATTTCGCACTCCAGTGCACACACACACGCACATGACAAGTGTCAATCTGCCCTCCAAACCCAATGAACACACCATAAAGACAACTTGTGCCTTCATCTGCAGCTCGGCTACCGGCCACTTTTTAAGTGGAATCCGAACCCGTCTCATCTTTTGGCGCTGTAACACCCCCCCCCCCCTCTCCCTTTCCGGTCTGCGACTTGGGAAACTCGACGCCTACACACGCGTCCTCCTACAGCCCGTATCTCGGGAATAAGAGGCCACCCGAGCCAAATGGAGACGGGGTCTCTGTCTGTCACCTCATCGCGACGTCTTACCCACCACCCACCCTTGGCCGGCCCTCCTCACTCAAAGGAGTATGTACCTCTCCTTGCTGCCGCAAGTACACAATCACCAATCCACCAAGAAGAAGAAAAGAAAGCCAAGCATTTTTGCCCCAAGACTACGGCAGTCGCTCGCAGGAATCTTTTGCGAACGGCGCGTGGCAGCCCTGACTGAGATCACGAACACATCTACACAACCTTATTAACATCAGGAGTGATCCTTTGGCTCCTGATACCCTGCGCTGCCCCAATTCTGTGCCAGAGTACGATGATCTTCACCAGTCCTGGGTCCTCTCCCCCATCTCACTGGTGGCCCTGCAGGGGGGCTGTGGTGTGTGGTCACACAATCGCACTCAGTACTCGGTACAGAACTTTTGACCCCCTTCTCTCAGTGGACTATTCTCATCCAGTACGGAAATACGTACCCACATAGGCTGCCGTACAACGCCAAAACCCACCTCCACCCCCTGCGGCATGGGTTGGACAAGGCTTGGTGTGCATAGGCCAGGCCCAGGCCAGGCCCCAAAGTACCTATTGCATACTATGGGTCGTTCTCTTGCGGAGTCATCGCCTTGGCTGCTCACTCTCTCACACCTGCACTACAGGTGGGTGGGTGGGCTGCCAGGATGTTAGGCCGCTGAACAAGCCCGGTGCCCTTTTTCTTTTTTTTAATGCTGATTATTATTCTTTCTCACCCTCTCCCTATCCTTACGAGTCAACTCCACTACATAGTACATCTGACTTTGCCATGCTAATTCACGGCTAGTGCCGTGCATTGCGTGTCGTCTCCCCAGGGCTGTGGACATGACATGAACCAGTGTGGTTCCCTTCTCATGGGCGCATCTAGAGTGTGGTTTGTCACCAGTGCACATCGTCGGTTCTTTTGTGGCCCCAACCCACTCCTTCTCTTCCTCTTCTATCTCCCACTCCACCCTCACCTCTACCAACAAACTTAGCTCAAGGTTGTACGTCGAAGTTTTGGGGTGTTGTTGGACCTCCTGGAAACACCTTCATGTACGGCGCTTCAGCACCGTTGGCTCACTTTCACTATAGCACTGGTTCATGAATCTGCTCTATTTTTTGCTTCTTCACACTGCCCCTACACTTCAATATGCCGAGTTGGGACCAGGGCAAGTGTCTTAACTACCATAATTAGTGTGACAGCTACACTTATTCATGCTCAGTCCTCCTCCTCTGCTGGACCTTGGTTCGCTTTACGCAAGCTGACAGCGCCACTTCGTAAAGGAAAGAAAAAAACAGAATATATATCTCGGCTGTAAATGATCGACAGCGAGTAAACACCCTGAAAAGAAAAATAAGCCACAATAGTCGAAACGCCTCTCCACGTACTCCATAACGACACAAAGAGTCTATTTCCGCCGCAGCCTCGGAAGATCGGAGTACTGGCCACTCGATCCGAGCCTGTTCATTACAGCCCCTGTCAGCTGCTAGGCCGATCATCCGTGTTGTTTCTATCCCGGTGGGGCGATATCCCCAGCGCCGCGCAAGCCTTGGCTCCTCCTGAGTTGCAGGACCAGGGTTTTTTGGGTGCCGCCGCCGCACAGCAACTATATTTCAAGCTTTCTTGTTTGGATGGTGGATCCACACTCCCTCTACCAGATCTGGGGGGCCATATAGACTTCTTCTTGTGGCACTTTTCTCTTTTTTTCTTTTTTCTTTTCTTATTTTTATTATTATCTGCAACGTCGATCTGGTCTGCCCACACTTCATCATAACCTCTCCAGCAGCCAAGTCCTGACGATCAAACAACCTTTTCCTCCTACCTTATTCTTCTTCTCCCTCCTACCTTCCCTCCATCATCATCCTCCTCCATCCTTCATCCTCTTCCTCCTCTCTCTTAAAACAGCCATTCCACATCAAGTGTCACTCCCACACCCACACACGACACTTAGAACGAACACACGCACACAAACACACGTCGATGGCTGTGCGGCAGAATAACATGATGGAGACTTATCACGGCATCGTGCGGACGCCCGCAGACGCTATCAAGCTGTTCGAGGCCTGCAGACTAGGCCTGCTGCCACGTGTGCAGCGCAGATTGTCCGAGAAGGAGCGTCAGTCGATCCGGTCGGGTTCAGTTTTTGTTTGGGACGAGAGGGAGGCTGGCATGCGGCGGTGGACAGACGGGAAGTCGTGGAGCGCGAGCAGAGTGTCGGGCAGCTTTCTCACCTACCGCGAGATGGAGGGCAAGCGGGGCGGTGGCTTCGGAACGTCGAGGAGGAGCGCCGGCAAGACGCCAGATTCGGGTCGTGGGAGCGACGATGTCTCTGACGATGGCGAGCCCGATGGCTACCGATACAAGGCAGACGGCCTGATGAAGCAGTCCTTCAGCATTACCACCTCGCAGGGCCAGCACCTGCACCTCATCTCGTACTACTCGCGCCCACATCCCAGCGAGCCCGAGCTGCCACAGCCCAGCACCGACCCCAGCCTGAGGCAGATCGTTCCCGTCAAGGGCATGTACCCAGAGTCCAGCATGAACGACCAGCCCGTGCCTGCGACGACGAGGACACCCATGGCCACATATCCACACCCACCACCGCCGCCACACCACCCGGGAGCATATCACCCGCAGTACGCCCAGCAGCCATACCCGGGCTGGCCGCCATCGCCAGTAGCAACCCCTCCCTACAGCCACTACACAGTCACGGGTCACTACGCTCCAGCACCGCTGCCACACCCTCATCATGTCCACCCGCACGGGCCCTACCCTCCACACCCTCACTACATGGCCGGACCGCCGCCAGCCCATCTCTATGACCCGCGACCTCCTCTGCCACCGCCTGCGTCCGCTCAGCCGCGCGTGACACCGCCTATTCTCCCGCCTTACAACAGCACCAGCAGCAGCCAGGCACCAGCTCCACCAGCAACAACAGCGCACACATCGCCCTACCTGGCCCAAGTGCGCATCAAGGAGGAGTCACCACGACCACAACACCTGCAGTTCGCGCCAGCACCAGTAACTGGACCAGGCCCCGGAAGGACCATGCCAGGTCCCCTGCCAGCCGTGTCCGCCCACAGCAACAGCTCGTCGACACCGCCCCCGAGGGCCCTCTCGCAGTCCCCACCAATCTCCGGGTCTGGCAGCAGCGGCAACAACAAGGCCAGTCTCTCTGCCCTTCTTCACCCGGCGCACACGGACTCGGAGCCCAACAGCGCCAATCCTGGCAGTAGCAGCGCCACGAGCAGCCCGCGCGGGGCTGGTAACGGTGGTTCGGGCTCGCAGACGGGTTTGGCCGCGATGGGCTTCCACGAAGACGCGAGGGCATTGGATGTGTTGAACAAGAAGTTTTCCATCTAAAGAGAAGGTGGTGTGGTTGTAGATGGGAAAGTTGCGACAGAAAGGTCATGGGAGCGGCGGCAGACTGGCGAAGGAGATACCCAACTTGGAAGCTTGTGTCTTTCATGTCTTTTTTTTTTTTTTTTTTTTTTTTTTAATTCCCAGGCGGCGGAGGAAACCGTGATAAGGCCTAGGGAAGAGGGAGCAACGAACGGATCAATTGCATCTTACAAGGCGTTTTTGGAAGGGCATCAAATATTTCTTGCGTATGGGGAGCATCGCTGTTATGGCGAGCTCTCTTCTTCAATCATTTGCACATATTCTTTTCTCTATTCTTTTTTTCTCTCGGAACGATACCTGCACAAATCACTTTGGGATGGACGAACTAAATTATCAAGATGGTCGAGATAGAGAGAGCAAGTAAGAATAGGTGATGGGCAAAAAAGCACTCGTTTAGCCTAGAGCAGCAGCACAGCAGAGAGTTGTGTGGAGAGAACAAAAAATATCAAATGAATATCAATCATTTTTGACTACTTTGATTTGCTACCTGTCTGCTTGCCTGGTGGTGTTTTCCCAAGACCTCATCTCCATGTTGCATATACATTCGCAGTGTACCAGCTAGACTCTATAGGATAATCACTTGGGGAGAAGAGCAGAGAAACCAGATAGGGGTCTAGACTTGTGTGTAGAGGAGGTTCGTTCCTCGGTGAGAAGTGGGAGGAGGATAATGCCTTTTCCCTGCCAAGCCCGCCAGCATATCACGATGATCATTGCAAATTTTCAAGGGAGAGGGGAGGAGGGGGGCGTTTGCGGTACGATGGACTTGGAACGTGTGTGCCCAGCATACACGTGCTATGAATGCCAAGTCCAAAGAAGAAAGCCCACAAGGAGAGGATGAGTCCTGACTCGCTTATCCTCCGAAAGGCCTGTTCTCTTCTGGGGAGGATTACCCATGGGTTTTTTTCGGGGCAGGACCAGGACAAACAAAGGCAAGACCCTTTCTTGGTAGCGGGTAAGCTTAACTTGGCGCCCCTGGTCTGGCTTGGGCTGGACTGGACTACCCTCCCGGATAGTATCATTTTTGAGGCGTATGTGGCTGCTGTTTCTCTTCTTCTTTGTTCTTTTCCTTCATTCTTCCTCACACTCCGACCGAGCTCCTTCGAGACCAATGTTAACACCGAGCCAGTGGCGCAAGGTTCAAGGGCGATAACTAATTACCATAGCCGGCCCTTTCCTTTGGTTCTCTTCCCCTCTCATTCGACGGGGCTCCCCCTCGTCCTCCTCCACCAAGGAATATGGAACCACCATATTCTCCTTTGAGAAAAGAAGAAGGCGGGCAGAGAGTGGCCTGTACCGAAAAGGGATGGGGAGAGGGGGACGAGAGCTGAGGCCTCACTCAAATGGTGATGACGCGTCTCCACTGGTAAAGCCGGCTTGCCGGCCCTTTTTTTGATAGCCTACTTGAGTACAGAAGAAGGGGAAGGGGGTGGGGTGATGTGGCTCTGGGCAGAAGATGATCTTTCCTTTCTCCTGTGGGAAGAGGAGAAAGCAGGAGGAGCAAGGGGAGGGAGGGGTAGATCTGTGAGCTGAAATGACGAGTTTCTTGGAGGGGGTGCGGGAATGGAATCTAGGTTGGCCCCTTTAAGCCAAGGTTGTTATCCACATTATCCACATGGGTACATTCATTTTCTTCTTACTGACAATCGTGTCCTGTTAATACCATAGTACACTATTGTGTGTATATGCGTATGTGATTTGGAAGTACGAACTGCAGTCGTATGACCTACCTTGTTTGGAATGAGGAAAATTAAATTAGCATAGCAACATTAGCCCGCTATACTAAGTACTTTACCACACGCACAGCCACGGAATGTGGGGCATACCCTAGGAAAGGGGACCACCAACCAGCACAACCCATCACGACCGACACTCACCAGATCTGGTGATATATCCACAAATATATCACTTGTACAATGGACTGTGCTTGCGCCTGCGCCTCCCAATATTGACGACAACGACGACGACGACGAAGACGACAATGTTCTCACAGCTCGGCCCAAAGAGGGAATAGGGAAGGTGTGATGATGTTAAGTCTCGGGAAGATGAGGTAGATCATTTGAGAAGGAGAGAGAATGAAAAAAAAGAAGAAAAAGACAGAGTCAAGAGAGTATGTTACTTTCACCGTTCGACGGGTAGCCAGATACTTTTTCCGCCGGATGATTATTGTACATAGCATGTAGCACCTGGGGAACCATCGACCAGGAGAATGGTAGACAAAGAGCTCGGGGGTCCGTCCAGGGCGAACCCCCTCCTCTTTCTCTACAAGGAAAGAGAGGTTCAGGTAGCAGTGTTGGTCACCCAAAGAGAGAACTATCTGCTCCAAAGTCCATTTACCAAACCACTTTCTTTTTCCCTCTTTTCTCTTCCTTTCCTTTTTCTTTCTTTTCTTCTTCTTTCTTCCTTCGCCTTTGCCTGCCGCGCGCCCTTTGCTTCATCCACTCACAGCGCTCCTCGGAGATAACTCCGATGGGAGGGATACCATACCCGCAAGAAGGGGAGAAGAGGGAGGGGGGGGACGCGTAACGTTGATTTACGGTTTAAGTAAGGTTAAGAACGTCAGGACCGGGGGGTTCAAAAGCGCTCGTGGCCAAATTTGAAACAGCGTCGTCTCTTTTGTTGGTTCTCGTTTTGAGAAGAGAGGATGGGAAAGGGGAGAGAGAAGGGGAGAAAAAGGAGGGGAACGGTTGTTTTGATTTGCGAGATCCGAAACTCTCTTGGATGAGAACAGACATCTAGTTAGATCAGTCTTCCTTGGGGCCGGCGTTTTGTGATTGTTCGTGGATGGGCCCAGGGGCTCTGTTGGTGGAGCGGTTCCTCTTGAAAGCCGTACCATAGTAGTATGTATATGTTTCCAAAGAGCATGCCCGGCGGCAATGCGGCAATAACAACAGACGAGAAAAGATCATACAAAAAGCTAAAGGCATCTTGGCAAGAAACATCTGGTGTCTGTGGTTATGCGCGGCTCGCGGAGGACGTGTCTCAACCCAGCGCTTGAACGTCTTGGAGGTTCGCAAGATGTGCAAATCATGATGAGACGCCGTGATCTGCTGTAGATCGATGGAGAACCCCTTCTCCAGATCCGGTTCGGCAGGGACTTTTACGTCTCCCTTGACTGGACGGTCGACGCAATGAGGGTAAACCAGTCACAGTCATCATTCGTCACCGGTCATGCACTGATCGGCGTCAACTGCGCTCTTGCCCCCCCCCCCCTCTCTCTCATTTGTCTTTACCGCGTTTTTCACACCACCGTCAGCCATTATAGCACAATTAGAAGTCAGTCTACCTATCATATTATCTACAGTAATCAAGTGCACACTACATAGGACATGGTAATCGGGTATCAGGTCTGTCGCCATTACGTGGAGCATCCCAAGTGCGTCGACGGGGGCTGTTTCACGTCCACAGCGTCTCATCCCATTGACACCTTCACCAACGGCTCTTTTTCTGGGCCGATTGTGTGTGTATATGTGACTAGCCAAGCTTTTCTGGCAGTTTCGTCTGATTTTTTGTGGTGGAGTGCCCTCGTCAGCCAGCGCTCATCAGAAAAGCTATTTCTGGGTTGAGCTTTTTTTTTTTTTTTTCAAGAAAAAGAAAAGTCGGGGGGGGGGGGGCAAAGACGTCACATTATACAATAGCAGTACCGTCTTCGAAACACTATAACCCAAAATCGAGTCATCGGAAATACATCTAGCATGGGAATGTTTCTTGTGCCAGAAAAGGGAGGCAGGGCTTGTCAATGTCTATTCCTGGACCACATCTTAGCCGAACCGAGAAGGCCACGCGTTTCTCTTTATGCTTCAATCATAGTGTAACTTAGTATGGAGTTGATACTATAGCACGCCATGGGAACTATAGCAACAATAAATGTACGTGTTATTAAAACGGCGGATGATGAACAACGTTCGTTATCGCCGAGGATCCGCTCCACTAACCTCAGCAAGCCACGCCAGGTGACGAAGCCTTCTTCATGAAAGGAGAATTTCTTTGCGAACAGAACAAATACGTCATTTTCCCAGAATCTTTTCTCGATGGCGGCATGTATATGCGTTTATGCTGCACACATAATTAATTTCTTAAGACGCGCGTGATCGAGTATTACCTACTGAATAAGTACGCGCTGCGCCGAACTATGCCGCTGGTGAGCGCGGCCGTGATGTTCAACTAAGGTAAGGTTTCATATCTTGAAGGGGCTGTTGACACGAGACCTTACTCAAAATTTAGCGAGAGCCTGGTGGATTGTTCCAATATTGTCTTCGGATATTACGAAGAAGAAAAACAAAGAGTCGCGTCTCATCGTACGTACTTTGTCAGTGACTTGTTGCTCACTGTTCATTCGGTTTAGATAGTACAATCAATCCCACAGCGCCCCTTTTCCCCCTTTTCCCTCCCATTGATTTCTAGCCGTCTTTGCCGTATCTAGTGTATAAGTCAGGGCAACTTGGGGCGGGGGGAAGGAAGAAAAATACCACGGCACAGCCCTTAGTGATCATCGTCTGATTGCGGTGGCATGATGTTGTCGCCCAGATGTACGTAACCCTGCGGACTCAGGGAGAACGAAGAAGAGAAAAAAAAAAAAATAAGGCCGTCTGCCGAGCTTCGGGTCGGCAATGCAAGAATGGACTGTCCCACGAGAGGGAAACGAGGGGGAGAGATGCGTAGGACGGTACGACAAAGAAAACTCAACATGTACGAACCAAAGCAAGCGACGGGTTTGATCTGGCCTTTTGTCGTGGTGGATACTTTGCAGTCGTTCATCGAGGTTTGGGAGAAAGCGGGGTGAGGCGATGGTTTCATGGTGAGAGGAGGAGCGCGGATGTCCAACCAAAACCCCCTTTGCTCGTAAATCCGAGGGCTCGCCCGTGATGAGCCGGGAGCCGCAAGTGGCTTCGGGAAGCGGCTGTGTGTGTCTTATCCACAGCAGAACGAGGTCACGGCCGGGGCGGGGCTTCTCACGTAGGGACCGCTCCGTGCCGTGGGCACTGGGTAGATTAGTTATGTCTTCTGTGAAAAAGGAAATGTTTCTACTCATTATTGTTTAGAATCTCCGGCCGGAGATACCTGTCTTACTGCTTCCAAATAGTCAGACTGCCTTGTCTCTCCCTCCTCTCCTCATTTCTCTGGGCGGGGGGTATTAACTCCTCGGTGGGGCGTTTGAAGAGGATTGAGTCGTCTGCTGGAACGAAGGGGGGAGGAGGAGGAGGAGCAGGGAAGGCACTCGAGGTATCTCTGTGAGCTTTCTCATACATGCCCTCCTCCAAGGGCCATCTCTCGTTTCAGAACCCGAGGTTCATGAGAAGTTGCATCGCGTGCAGGGGCTGCGTTGCACGTGAGGAGGATTGCAGCTCGGAAATTTCAACACGGAAATGCGGCACAGGGGACGAGCACGGTTCCCAGCAGAGGTGCCATGGTGGTTTCAGCGGCGTTGGGTTTCCTTCGAGCTCTTACAGCGGAATTGGTCTGAAGAATTCATGGCGTTCGGCTACCGTTGTCAATTGAAGGATGCAATTGGGCTTTGAGAAACTGGCCGTTTGTATTCAAGACTGAGGTCGACTTGAACTCTATTCTGTGTCTGAGCATTCGAGTCTCTAAGGACAGCCTAAGATGTCGAGCGGGCCAACCATTGGTGAGGCTGTGGACAAGCTCAAATCCATAAACCTCTTGAAAGACCTCCACTCAACTCATAGTACCTATCAGACGCATGAGAATACTGGTCTTGTTATCAACCATTCCTCATGATTGACTGCTGTCAAAATAAAATAGGTATGAACAGTTATCATTGTCGTGCTAGTACCAAAGCAAAACACCTGTATAGCATGATCTAACCATACGACATGTTCATTTTCAACATGATGGTTTTATATATAACAGTGTATCAAACGATGGACCTGCGATGGACTGAGGACCAGATTGAAAAGAAGAAACTTTAGTGTCTCATAGATTTTCATGAATTAATATCACCGTCTCTCATCCACCAGTACTCACGAAATCTGAGCATAAGTAGTGCGCAAGGCCATGATGTCCAGCTTGGTCCAGTAATTATTACAACTAAAATTGACCACATCTCACGTCTTTGGCCATTACAATAATTGCTACAAGTATCAAAAATTGATTACCTACTTACCCAGTCACTCTGAATGGGGCAGTATCTTGCTATCTCAGTATGATCCTCGACAGGTCTGTTAATAAGAGGATGTATTGGTGGGTAAAGCCCCTAGTGGCCTTTACCATCCTTATATGATGGTGTTGTCGGAGCATCATGTCTCATTTGACAACAAAATGATGAATGTTTCCCTGGCCTCCTTTATTCTCTTTCTGAAGGAGGCATTGGAAGTCCTGTTGGATACAATGATGGAAGAGGCGAAGGTAAAACTTTATGGGCTTCTCTATGAAAGGCAACTCACTCAGAAAGCAGTATTATGGAAGGCTTGCACGGCTGCTCTTAACGATCAACCAGAGCTGATGGATGTGGTCGTGATGTAGGACCACAAGGAAGGTCGAGACTTGCGTGAAGTGAAGTACTGCCTGATATTAATGTCTAAAGCTTGCGGAAGCATGAGAAAAGGGAATATCTGGCCTATTCCTCCTGAAGACAAAAAGAAGTCACAAAGCATGCTCAGCTTCAACCAGTGCTATTGTAATTAGCATGAAGCAAAGTGCCAATGAAGTGCTTGGTGATCATCGTATCATACGAGATGGTGATTCTCGTTATTGTGAGAAAGGCTGGTCTTAGGATAATGAAGACAGAACGCGGCTTCAACATATAGGTCCTCCTTATTACGATGTGGTTACTTGTATTCAACATGAAATTGAGCATAGAGATATTGTCTGTCCTGGTCATCATGTGAGACCCAAACAGTGCAGGTACTGCCCTATTGAAGAGATTATCTTGTACGTCTTCTGTTCTCAAACTCAGTAGTTGTCATTGGCCGCCGCACTGCTGATGATACAAGATTTCAATGACCCGTCAGACTTATGAGGTAGGCAATGGTAGAAGCTAAAGAACTTGGTATTCCCACCAGCCCCTTACCATTACTCAAGTAATTACTTGGTGCTTGAGGCCCACGCCATACATCACCTTTCTCAATGTGTAAGACAACACCAGGGCAACATGGGGGTGGAAAATCTAGCTTCGAATTGCGGCATTAGTAGACCAGATGCAAAGACGACCCTTCGCCTTTCCCAGGTCGATCCAGGGTCACAAGCAACGTATCGACGTGGCACTTCTACAAGCCTGCGGCAACGAGCACTCGCCTGTAGCCAGCATCTTCAGCTTTCTGGCGTCCCAAACAACTTTCTTTCCAGGAAGAGAGCCTTGGACATTCGCACAGGCAAGCATTCGCGCGAAGTCCGTCATGTGGTATTGTCGGGTTGAGCCAGCAACCACACGATCCAGGAGAGGCGATTGAGGTATAGAATCGCACAAGCAGCCCATCGCTAGTCCGGGATATAAACAGCAAGGTTTACCTAGGTGAAACCACTGCCCGACATTGCTCTCAGAGAGCGTGTGACCGAGGCCGCCCTCTTCCGCGCGCCATTTCAAGGACTTGAAGCTGTCAAACTTGAGCCCTCCTCACACAAGATCATGGCTGGACAACAGCTACCATGACCGTGAATAAAGATGTGCTTAGACAGGGTACAAGAACGGCTGCTCCATGTCCAAGGAAATGAACAAGAGCGGCAGAAAGTCTCATGCATGCCATGGGGACGCATGAGGAGCCTCCCACGCTGACACTCCAGGCCCATCGCTCGTGGTGACGTTTGTTGGTTGAGGTTGCAAGTTTGGACATGTTACAGACGACCAGGGAGTGAATACATCGTCTGGACCACCGGCGGCAGTCCTCCCTTCCAGGAACTGCACAGAACAGGTTTGCGTAGACGTACGCCATTACTGGTTTCAGCAATCCTGACGCCTCTCGCGGAAAGCTAGACCGTCATCGGATGAGGTGAGCGCAAAGTCTTCTACAGGCAGCAGCCAGCGCACCGCGTAAGACTGACACCAAGGTCCCTCGAAAACCATAGAGGATGGATGGATGCACTCATCGAGTTGTCCATTTGAAATCGAGGTGGAGCATGACGCAGCTTCGTGGGTGGCTTCATATCTCACACGATGGTATTTGACCTGGATACCGGAAGTTCAGAAGTCATTTGCGATTTCATCGTTGTAAGTTATAGGAGGCAGGAACGTAGTGTCGTCGAGAGAAGATCATTCGGTGCTTCACACCCATTTAGCCGTTTGGGAGCAACCGATCGCATAGGCACCAATGGAAGTTCCTAGACAAGATGGATGAGTGAGGGGAGAGAGAGAGGGATGAAGGAGGGAGGAAGCAGGGCCGCAGGCCCACCACCGGAAGCAACTCTGCTTCTCAACTCTCTTTGCTCAGGTTTTGGCTAATGACGCGTGATTGGTTCGTTGGCTCATGTTGCACGCTGTGATTCCCGGCGTGTCTGGCTCGGATTGGTGGCGACGTTTGCTTGGTCGTCTGCAAACTCGAGAGACGTTGTGGCTCCTTGTTTTGAACGATATGCAGATTGTTGGTTCCATTGCAGGACCAGCGCACCAGTCCATTTGTCCACGTAGCCCATGCTACTGGTTCACTCAAACCCTGTCGGACAGGGGCAGAATCTCGAGAAAGGATGTGCTGCACACTTGGACTGGCTCATTATTTCCTGTGTCAGAGATATGTGAGCTGATAGAAAAGGGTTGATTTCGTGTAGTGAGTGAGTTTGATTGGTAAAAAATGAGCGTGTGGTAGCTGTCTGGTGGATAAGAAGGCTTCGTGTTGTGTCAGGTCGTGAGACGCGCCGACTCCGCAATGGGCGGCGCGGATGCAGAAAGGTATTGCCAGAGAACCACCAAGAAAAAGAAGAATGAAAAAGTGCTCATTCGATACAGACAAACTCATTCAAGGGTTGATGACTTTCTTAGGCCGTATGAACGACGTTGAGGGCGGGGGAAACCGGTCTGAAATCCGGTGGACGCGATGCGTCGCGAACACGCGATCACGATGTCAACAGCCCGCGGACAAAGACGGGTGCACAGCGCCACAACGGTGCAAAAATGAATCCAAAAATTGTGCATGGCATCAAAGTTGATCGGCTGGTGATGCAGGAAGACGAGATTGGCGATTTCATTCGACTGTGGTGGCGTGGGCAGGCGAAAAGGAAAATCGGTCACGAATTTGCGGATAGCTTCACGATGCAGGATGCACGCACCACAGGCGGCAACAAGGAAAAGGAACCTCAGCAAACCTGTCTTATATTGGCACTCTGACGCGGGATGGCACGATTGAAATTATGTCGGCTGAGAAGCGACTATTTCAAATTATCAGAATTTGCTATTCACAGAATAAGAAACATGGGTTGTGCGCACGCCATTTTGGATGCGCCTGATCGAGTCGCAATTCAAGCAAGCTGCCAAAGGGCTGCCATTGCGCATTTTCCACACCAAAATCCGGAGGTTTTGGTGTCCCCCGCAGTGTTCCTTTCAAAAACACACCACTACTTTCCAACTCTGCTGCACTGATGAAAACGATTCCAAAAACGAGGAGGCCAATAAGGCCAATAAGCTAAAACAGGTGCGACAGGGCTGATGGAGGGAGGGAATTGAAAGAGAAAGAGGGAGAAGGTTGGGACAGGAAAAGTCAAGAGATCCGGGGGGGAGGGGGAGGGCGAGGTGGGTGATGTGAGGAGGGAAGCAGAGACGAGAGGCTGTGGTGATTGACAAAGTGACAACCGCAACGAGGTGACGTTGACATGCAGCCAATCAAAAACTACCACACTGACAGGGGGACCGCTGTTTTGCTTTCTTAAGCGCACTTTTAGTCCAGTGCAAATATTCTTCCCAGACGGGGAAAGCGGCATCGAGTTTGCGTAGGAACGAGGAAATGTCAGGGGTCATGAGCATTATTCCATGCACTATGACCACAAGTGAGTAGCCTAAAAGGGCATAACGTGCTTGCCGCATACCCATGCAGGTTTGAGATGGCTGGAGAGAGAAGGAGTGAGAGCTGTGGTACTATGTGTGGTGCAGTTTTCATGAATGACTTTTGATTCATTGACCGAAAAGTGAGAACAGGATGGAAAGTCTTGTCCACAGCCATCAATCGGGTGCAGCATCCATGGTGCCTCTCTATGGGCCTCCGCCTTATTCTGCGAATAACTACTCCTGTGATACTCTGATTGTAGAGAAACCAAAGTATCAAACATAATAAAAGACAGGGTATTATAATGAAGCGTGATGAGCATGACCCCCTGAGCAAGGCGAAACGAAAAGGAAGTTGGGAAAAGAGGAGAAGAGGAAGGAAAGAGCGAGTGCGTGAGGCTTCAGGTCGGGGCAAAATGGGCAGGACAGATTTAGAGTTACATGCGGGTGGACTATATTTTTCCTTTTCGGAGGTGTCAAGTTTAGGAATTTAATAAGCCCAGGCCAATGGAGACATGACCTGGCATTGGGCATTGGTATGGAAAACATGGTGGGCACGGCACGGCAGGCCAGGGCTGCCACCTGCAGCAGAGAAGCACAGCGCAGCACAGCACCAAGCCCGTTTACTGATTGTGCATCCTCACGGCCGGCCCCACTTTCGTATATAAACACTAGCACATGTCTCGACCGCGCCCGCCCTCCAGAACCCCCCTTCCCTCCCCTCTGCTCTCTCTCTCTCCCCTTCTCTTCCCACCTTTTCAACAAACCAACCCAAATCGAAGCAACATTTCTCCCGTCCATACGTAAAGAAGACATCGATTCGATATCCATCGACTTCCAGTCCTCCGATCTAGCCAATCTACACAACAACCAAGTTACTTTCGCCAGTTTCAGCCAAGATGCCTCCCAAGAAGACCGACGCTACCCCCAAGGCCAAGTCTGCCCCTTCGCACCCTACCTACCAGGTTTGTCGCACGCACTCCGGCTTTTTGGCAGTCGCATTCGTTATTAACTTGCTACAGGACATGATCAGCGATGCTATTATGCATGTATGCGATCCCCTTCCTCGCCTTCCGGCGCATCGTGTGTGTCATGCAGGTGTGGGCTGTTGGGGGTGGCAGCCGACTCGTCTGGCTCACGGCGCATCCGTGCCAGCGAGACAGTGCAGCCCTCAACACCACGCACAAGCTTTTTAAAGTCTGTTTATTTCATCCTACTGACATGTTTCTCCTCACTCCAGCTTAAGGACCGTAATGGATCTAGGTAAGCTTGCCGTCCGGCCCTCACCGTCTACCCGCCCGCATCACGTGTTTCATGGCCACCCCGCACGGGATACATGAGGCCATCGTGTTGAGGGGACACCACTGGGTGAGACAATGCACAGCACAACAGGATATTGTTACTGACATGACATTCTCTTTTCATAGCCGTCAGAGCCTGAAGAAGTACGTTAAGGCCAACAACAACATCACCGCCACCGACTCCATGTTCGACTCCCTCTTCAACCGTGCTCTCAAGACCGGTGTTGAGAAAGGCGTCTTCCTGCAGCCCAAGGGTATGTGTTTTGCCTCTCGTACTCATCTCATAACCCTCCTTCCACGTAAACAATGCATCGCTGTGATTGTTTCCCTCCCCTTTCTATCTTTTCATTACCAGTCTGGCGTCACATTGGCCCCCAAAGCCCTACATACCCGGGTTACCGACTGACATGACCCTCACTACACAGGTGCATCTGGCGGTACCAAGCTCGCCAAGAAGGCTGCTGCTCCTAAGAAGGAGAGCGCAGCCAAGAAGGACAAGCCTGCCGGCGAGAAGAAGGCGGCTCCCAAGAAGAAGGCTGCCCCCAAGAAGGCCGCTGGCGAGAAGAAGGCTGCCGCGCCCAAGAAGGCCGCCAGCACCACCACTGCCACCAAGAAGGCTGCCCCTAAGAAGGCCGCCGACGCTCCTGCTGTTGTTGACAAGCCCAAGACCCTGACCAAGACCAAGTCTGGCCGTGTCGCGAAGACCACCGCCAAGCCTGCCGCTAAGAAGGCTGCTGCGCCTAAGAAGGCGGCCGCGGCCAAGAAGGCCACCCCCAAGAAGGCTGCTGCCACCGCCGCGGCATAAAGGGGAGATGGTACCATCCCCTCTGCTCGGTCATGGCTCGCGTCTTTGGAGAGGATGATTTTGTGTGATTTTTGCTTTTCTTGACTTTCCTGCGCGCGTTTGTCTAAGGGAGGTCTTCTGGCGTTGGGGGCAACATGGATCCTGGTGTTGAATCAACTAGCTACGTTCATGTATCTTGCTTACGTGTGGATGATGAGCGGCGGCGGGCTTGTGTTCTTGGACATCCCGCCGGTCGTCTGCTGCTGGTGTGGAGTTGGTATATTGCACAGGGGAGTGAGATTGAAGCATCACGACTGCGGCAATCTACGGACGCGACAACAGTGTTAGCCAACAGATGGTTATGGTGTGGATAGGTTCGGAACGGGACGGTTTTGTAATTATACCAGGGAAATGACGAGACTTTTTACTGGTGCTGAATCACAAAATTGATGAAATCATAATCCTCAGTGCGATGCCTATGAAGAATTAGAATTCTAGGAAACGGTGATCAATTTGGTGGTGTGGTGCGTGAGAAGCTGAGAGATGGACTGGGACAGGCGGGGAGGGGGTTCCGCGTGCGGGAGGGAGGGGGGGAAGGATGGGTTGGTTTGTTTACTCTCGAAAAGGAGGCGCCACTTTTCACTCATCCACCCTTACACCGTGACATCCTTCTCTCTCCCCATCAACCTGCCTGACATTACCTCTTTTTTTTTTAAATTACTTTTTTTGTGTAATTCTCCACCCCTGTGAAAGGATGATCCGGATATGTAGGAATGACCAAAACAACAACAACAACAACAAAAAAACACACTTGGATGACACATGTACATACCGACACACTACCCACTTATGATGCAGAACGTAAATAAGGCTTCATTGATGTTTTGAGGAAATCGAGATGACACAAAATATGCACATTTCACAGAGCACACCCACACACGCCCCGCAACAGAATTAACATGGTCTCAGTATTCAACGGGTGAGCATATGAGTTGCTTGCATGCGTGTGACTGCAAAATAAAAAGTGAGGCGTGTGCAGGTGGCGTGCAAAGACGGTTTCAGAGAGCTAGTTACATGGCCCTGAGCTCTGAAGCTTGAAGCTACTGAAGCTCCTAGCTCCTAGAGGATGGGCTAGGTTGTGCCTACAATGACGTTGCAGATGCTGCCCCACATCATTTCTGGAAGCTTGTCCTCAAACTCTTGTCATTATCTAGCCGCTGAACTTGAGGTTTGTTATCGCCTATAGTCTATCTTGTTAAAGATGTTTGGAACATGTCCAGTTCAATAAAACATATGGTACTCCAATAAGGCCAAACGAATGTCCTTCTCCCCCCCCCCCCTTTTTTTTTTTTTTTCTTTCTTTCGTTCTTTTTGGCTTCTTGTTTCTCTGGAAAGACGATGAGGAAGGTGCAACGATGGCCTGGATTGTTTATTCCAGAGGGAAAGAAGGAAGGGCGAGAAGGGTCCGTGCAGGCGATAAGATTGAGGAAGTACCAACGAACCAACGAACGTATCCTGGCCTCGCGCACCTGGTAACAGGTACACAGAGTTCATGCATGCATGACTGCACTATACAAATTAGAACCATCACACCACACCCACCCACCACACATGCGCAGACCATACAGCAGGAAACGTGCAGATCGCGCAACCCTTAACACTGAACCTTAAAACCTTGAATGCTTGACGCAGTGGTGAGTGCGTGTGTGAGCTGGCTGAGCCTTTGCTTTGCTTTGGGCGCCGAGCGAGGAGGTCGAGGAGGAGGAGGAGAGAAGGGGGGATAAGTAGGAATTTTTTTTTTTTTTGATTTTGACTGATGAATGATAAATTTGTCTCGCAGATCAGCTCTTCTCCAAGATTCATACAGACTGCAGTGGGAATTACTACGCGACCTCTTTGCCCAGCCGTTGTATAGGCTCGTCGAATTGCAACAGGCCAAGCCCGGCAAAGCCTCGTCCCGAAGTCAGTCCAGCCCCCATTGTAATAATAATCCGCACCCAGAGCCAGAACGAACGAACCCGAGCCAGACCAAAGCCAGATCAGAACAAACCAGACAAAGACCGTTCATCCAGGCCAACCTATTCCCATCCCATCCGATCCCGTCTCATCCGGGCATCGGTCAACCGCACACAACCGGGCTGCAACCTTGTCAGAACCTCCTGGACCCCGAGCTGCGACCTTGACCCGCTCAACAGTCTGTCGACTACCTCTTCCTTGCGGTTGTCTGCATCTGCTTGCCGCCAATCGCTTACGACTTCACCGTCAAGTCATCCCGCAATTCCGAGCACAGCATAGGACTGGACTGGACTGCACGGACGATGGCTGGTCCAGCCGTTGTCACTGATTCTTTCTCTTCTTCACCAATATAAGCATTGCCTTGTGCTTGCTTGGTTGCCTGCTTGCTATAATACATCACCATCCACTCAAACGACAACGACGACGACCAACCATCACCACCACCACCACCACCACCACTGCTCCCAACCTTAGCCATTATGGCTTCCGAGTCGACTTCGAGCTTCGGCTCACACAATCCTTTCCGTAGAAAGATCAACAATCCCATAGATGTCGGCGGCGCATCCTCCCCTTCCACGTCTCCCATGAACGATCCGGATACCCGGAGTCGATCTGCAAGGACCCCGACTACCCCCTCCGACTTCGCTCGTGCCCTCTCCTCCCTGCCGAATAGCAACAACAATAACTATAACGATAATGCCGATGCAGCTGCTATACCGCCACCGCCGGTAGTGACCTTTCACAAGCAGAAGCCCGTTAAGAAGGTCCGCGTCCAGAGCCCCCCGCCGTCGAGCCCAGAGTCCACCAGCGCCGAGCATACATATCCGAAGTACCCGCTGCCGCCGAGAGACGATGGAGACGACGACGGGGCGAGCAATAGTAGCGATGGTGATGACGATGAGCTGGTGAATGGGGAGCGCGAGGATCCTTTTGCCAACGAAGCGCCGCCGCTACCTGCCGAAGCCCTCCTCTCAGCCGTCCCCGAGCGGACCGCACCGACTGCACAAACACAGACCAAGAGTGGCCAGGCCCAGCGGTGGACGGGACGGGGTCCACCGCCGAACCCGTTTCAGAAGACGCTGGAGGATCTGGAGCAGTCGGGCGGCGGTGTCGGTGGTGCAAGAGAAGAGGCGCCCGCAGATGAGCAGCAACAGACAGCAGGTACAGGCAGGACGGGCATGGACGTCGAGGCGTTCAAGAGGCTGCTCCTCACAGGGCAAGGGCCCGCGTCTGGTGATGGGGGCGGCAGCACAACCGAGACGTCATCGTTATCGCGCCAGTCCATCTCCTCGGCCGCTGCGCGTCCGCCATTGGACACACCACGGACGTCGCACGAGATCTCTGAGCCAGAACGGGACGGCGACGAGAGGCGAGGACCGTCACTTCCAACACCCTCGGTGAGGCGATCCGGGTCACGGAAGAAACCGCCGCCACCACCACCTATGACGCGCCATGGGAAGCTGATCAAAGAGCCCATCCCGTCAGCGTCCGAAGGACGGACCGCAGCAGCAGCAGCCGCTGCAGGAAGCGATGGTAGCTTGACGGATGTTAACAAGCCCCTGCCATTACCTCCACCACACCGCCCCGAGGACGGTGACGCCAAGAACAACATCTTTGAGCAGGAGGCAGCGGGCAAGATTCCAGAGGTCGACATCGATCCCGACGCCGACGCCGACGCTGTGCCCTCGCCGCGCCCACCCACACCTCCTGGCGCCAGCCACTCCACATCGGAACCCATTCAGGACCCTGTGTCGACGTTGCGGCGGCCCGGGCCCCCGCGGCAGAAATCTGGCCCACAGCGCGTTCGCAGCGGGAGCAAGTCGTCGGCGGACCTGCAAGATGAGAGTCCTGCCGTGGCGTCGCCGTCGCCCCGCTCGTCGCTGGAGAGCCAGCGGTCGCGATCGTCCAGTCTACGGAATCTGCACGTCGCAGCGCCAGTACCACCGCCGCCCAGGCGGGGCCACCGACAGTCGCCAAGCGTGTCCACCCCTGCCAGCCCATGGGGCCACCAGCAGCAGCCACAGGCAAGCCCGTCGTTGTCGTTGGCCTCTCCCCTGCCAATGACGGGCGGGCCAACGAGTCCGGGGGTGGAAGACACCGGTGTGGGGCTCGCGAAGCTGTCGTCGCCCATGCCGACGCCGCCGCCGCCGCCGCCGCCGCCACAGAGGAACACGTCACTGCGCAGGAACGGCGGTGCTGGCAGCAGTACGGCTCCAAGAACGCCCAACAGAGTGGGTAGCGGCGTGGCTCCTCCTCCACCTCCGCCGCCGAGGACTAGAGGTGGGAGTAAAGGAAGCGCGGAGGGGCCCGCCAGCGGAGGGGGCCTGACAAGGACGAAAGCCGCAGAGAGCACACGGCGCGGCGGTGGGGACGTGGCTGCAGTTACAGAGGAGGAGGCAGAGCTTGACAACAGTGCAGCGGCCAAGCCAGCGGGGCGCGTCGACACTGGCCTGTCGGACGAGGCGGTGCAGGCTATGCTGGCGGACCTGGATGCGCTGCAGAGGGAAGTGGACGCCGCGAGGATGGCAGCCGGGAGCGAGTGAGGTTCAAGTCGCCTCTCAGCTGGCTGATACTCTTTGAGCTGCGCAGGCAAAATAGTTGACGCTGCGGTTAGATAATAATGGGGCGAATGAGCGAATGGCTAGGCAAAGCCCATCGAGTTGGCTCGAGATCGTGCTTCATGTCACAAGATAGAGAGAGTCTGTCACGGCTGAGATATCGATACAATATCTGGACGATGGTCCTTCTGCGTGGCGACGCCCCCAAACACACTACACTGGCACTGGCGGGGCCACTGGCTAGGGTTTCTTTTTTTTTTTTTTTTTTTAGACGACTGGCGTCAGAGTTATAATGAAGGACGGCGATGTCAAATCACTAGTTAGCTGATAGACATTACTGATTGTCACGCTCGGGAGTCTGCGCGCTGATCATGCTGAGTACATGTTCGAGAGCAGTTTCTGGTATCCTGAATAGACTACCACCCAATCTTCTCTGTCGCACGAGTCTCTTTCGGGTACTTTTCAAGTGGGAGAGACACATGCACAGAGGCCACTATCAAAGTGATCAATATAGCTGGGAACATGTGCTCGTCTCACAGCCTTTCTCTGCTATTGCCTGCAGTGATACACACAGCATACTGTCTTGAGTCTCATGATACTATTAAAACACAGAGAAAGAATGCCCCTTTGTTGGGGTGCTTAATTAGGCGACTGGATACCGGAAGGCTGCCCATGACCCCAGAGCGTTATAGTATCTTCTTCTTTTCCTAATTAAAACGAAGTGTGGCGCAGAATTGTTCGTATGAGGGCTCTTCATTCTGCATGCTCTCATATTCATTGATAATTATGGAATTCATCGCTTTACGTTTGGAGGGCTGGCAATAATTGATGAGCCGATCCTGTAACCCCGTCTTGTACATATTCGCCGTTAGAATGGTAGGAGGAACAAAGGTGAGGAAAAGATATGGCCAATATCATTGCTACGGTTGTATTTTATCATGGTTACGTGTTGCTAGTGTCATCTCTCGTGCAGGTGCACTATTATAAAAAAACAGAATTTGTTATTGATCAGACTTGTCAAGGTCAGCTTTGCCAAGGAGAGGCACGGGTGAGAATTAGGCAGGCGGTTATTCATTTCTGGTTAAAAGCGCCCCCCCTCCCAGTCTGGGTTATGCGGTGTCACCTCTGGCTTTGGGTCGCGTGACGCATTGGGGAAAGGCCAGGCCGGCCTTGGATTGGTCTGGAATGGGTACTTGGTGATGAGGTTTTGATCTCTCGAGAATTGCGAGTGAGAGAGAGTGTATTCATCACTTTGTTGGCTGCGCAGGTAAATCAACTGCCACAATTTTGTGAGTGGAAATTAACTACAGTAGAACATAATTAATGGAGCAAAAGGGGGTTTCTCGTAAAGGGCCCCTAACAAGCTTGATTTAGAGTGGACAGTTTCCCACTTTTTTTCCCCCTTGAACCCTTTAAAACCTTGCGGCTCTTGTTGGCCATGGATAAGTAATTTCCAGCCCGCAGTGGAAGAAAGGTCACTCAAGTACTGTGCATATTACATGCACGCTATGGTCACACACTACGCAGAAGCACTGTACATGATAACATTACCACAGTACTACCCAAGGGTCCTTGGCACTAATTATGGTATCACAGGTGGGAGAGTGAGAGTAGGAGGGGAGTACCCCACCAGGCAGTGGTCGAGCAAGCATTCATGGAACCTATTCCCCCCTGATTGGATCGGCCATGGTAGGGGAGATCCTTCCGAGCCAATACTACGTAGCGAGTGCCATTTGTCGGTTTGCCATTGATTTTTATTGTTATTATTATTATGATGCATCGATAAAGATCTTGCATTGAACCGGTGCTATGTGTCTGTTGTACGGTGCGCCAAGCCTCCATCTCGGTGTGGCGCCATTCATCGGATCTGTCCATTACTTGTTCGGGATTCCAAGGTCATGCGTTCCTTCTTTCTTTCTTTCCTTCCTTCCTTTTCCTTTTGTGCCTAGTCGAGCCTTCCTTGAGACACGAATGCTTCATCGACCCTTCCTCGTCCACCACCAACGTTGCATGTGTGACGTCGTGATGTAGTCTGTCTTTTGGTCGCCAGTCACTCTCGCTTTCTCCTCTTGACAGCCCACGATGAGGAAACCTTCGATACCCGGGCTTACAGGCAGGACCCGATGGCGCCGAAGAGATCTCCTTCTCACCCTCGCGGTCGTCGGCATCCTCTATTACATGCTGACCTCGTCCTCCTGGGCCACACTGCATTCGCGCCGGCCCGAGTCCGTCCGTCTCGAGCAGTATATGAACGCCCACGCCAAGAACAAGGTCTGGAACGTCAAGTCCACCTTCGACTGGAGCAAGGTGAAGTTCGCCTACCCACCAGGCCCAGACATCCCGCTGCCCACCAAGAATAACGGTGGCAAGACCAGCGCGGGCGGCAGAAGCAGCCTCCCCCGCGTGCAGGCGGTGCCGTTCCCGCCCGAGACGGCCGCCGCAGCCTCGATCCGTGAGGCCAGGCGCGCCGAGGTGAGGAGGCTGTTCCAGAAGAACTGGGCGAGCTACCGACAGCACGCGTGGATGCGCGACGCCCTGCTGCCCGTGTCGGGCGCGGGGAGAGACCAGTTCTCGGGCTGGGCAGCGACGCTCGTGGACTCGCTCGATACGCTGTGGATCATGGGCCTGCGCGACGAGTTCGACGAGGCCGTGGACGCCGTGGCCAAGGACATTGACTTTGGCAGCTCGTCCCAGCCCCGCGTCAACATGTTCGAGACCAACATCCGCTACCTTGGCGGACTGCTGGGCGCCTATGAGCTGAGCAGGCGGAGCGTCCTGCTGCAGAAGGCCGTGGAGCTCGGTGACATGTTGTATGCCGGCTTCAACACGGAGAACGGCATGCCTGTTGACTTTTTCAACATCGACAAGAGCAAGTCGGGCGAGGGCCTGCCTATCGAGAGGCGTGTGGCCATTGCCGGCCCAGGCACGCTGTTGATGGAGTTTACGAGGCTGTCGCAGATCACCGGCGACTTGAAATACTACAGTGCTATTTCACGGCTGGTGTCGGTGTTTGAGGCAGGGCAGATGAAGACGGCCGTGCCCGGACTGTGGCCCACCACGGTGTCGATGCAGACCATGAACGTTGTCGACGGCACGTCCTTTACACTCGGCAGCGGCGCCGACTCGCTGTACGAATACATTACCAAAATGTACTCGCTGCTGGGCGGCAAGGAGGAGCGGTATCACAAGATGTCCCTTGCCTGGATGGACGCTGCCGATGAAAACATGTTCTACCGGCCCATGCTGCCAGATAACGACGAGAGTCGGGACAGTATCCTCTTCTCAGGTAACCTGGCCGTTGTCGACACGGCGTCCAGCCACGAGCTCCGTCTCGACCCGGAGAGTGAGCACCTGTCGTGTTTCCTGGGCGCCACGTACGCACTGGGCGGGCGGCTGTTTGGCCGGGACGACTACCTCGACACGGGCGCGAGGCTCACCCGGGGCTGCGCCTGGGCATACCGCGTCACGGCCACGGGGATGATGTGCGAAAGGTTCAACTTGGTCAAGTGCGACAGCAAAGAAAAAGGGAAGCCCTGCCCGTGGGATGAGGCGGCATTCGAGGTGGATAAGAAGAGAAGGGGAAATTGGAAGGAGAGCCTGCCCGCCGGGTTCACCACGTGTAAGGACCCGCGGTACATCCTGCGGCCCGAGGCGATCGAGAGCGTGTTTTATCTGTGGCGGATCACAGGCCTGTCAGAGTACCAGGAGATTGCGTGGGAGATGTTTGCCGCGGTGGGGAACGGGACCGAGACAGAGTTTGCTAATGCGGCTGTGATGGACGTTACGAGCTCGGAGAGGCCGCTGAAGAAGGAGGATTATATGGAGGTGCGTCTGACTCTCTCTCACACTTTGACTCTTGGGATGCAGACTGGCAGTGTATGCTGACTGAACGTGAACAAACAGAGCTTCTGGCTGGCAGAGACCCTCAAGTACTTCTACCTGGCCCTGTCCCCTCCGGACCTGATCTCTCTGGACGAGTATGTTCTCAACACGGAGGCACATCCATTCCGGCTACCGCAGTGAGGGCGTAGTTGTCAAGAATTATGGATGGATCATGGATGCCCTGGGTGGTGTTTGGGAGTTTCGCATTGGCTTTGGTGGTCTGTATATACTGAAGGCTTGTTTGAGATGAAGAATTTTGCAGCTGTACTTGTTGATAAGGGATCGCACTGCATGGGCAGGTTGGGACACGTGCAGCATTTCAGGTTTGTCAAGTAATCATAGTTTTTTCCAGAATGAACGACAAGGCCAATCTTGCCTCTGACTGTGTTTAAGGCCTGTGAGTAATCCTTTCGAAATAGTCTATCGGCCCCTCGTATCAGTCGAGTATAGTTACAGCCTGTGGGAGAATAGTGGTCACTGTCGTACCGTTTTTTCTTCTCCCCTTTCCTTCTCGTAGAAGCGGGTCATTGTGAGTCAGCAGACCAACTTACCTTAGACCTCGATTTCAGAATCAATGGCTCAAGACAAATCAGGAGGGAAATGAACTATGGTAAGTGGATCCTTTAGTGATGAATAAGCCAACTTACCCTAGACGTGTTTTGGTTGGATTGTCTGAGGTACAAATTTTGAGAGCAGGGCTGAGGATGGAGAGAGGGGTGTGGGTAAAGGGTGAGTGGGTGTGTATGTGTGTGTATTAAATTTGTCCTCCTTCTTAAAACAGGCAACTTGTTCGTGGAGCTGAATCTATAATGAAAACATAGAAGGTCAGCATGTCCTGACCAAATGTAATGAGCACTGCAGCAATCCGAAGATTCCAAAGTACACAAGGGGTTTATGCTAACAAGAGCGGTGCCAAGTACAGGCCTTGAATACGGAACACAACTGAGTAACTGTGCAAGTGTTCACTGCCTTTGGGGCTATCAGAGTAAGAGAGTAATCTGATACTTAGATTGACAACTGAAGAGCTATGTACTGAATCTACCTAATGATAATGAACGTGTCCTTATATATCCAGCTCTTCAGTTCTGACTATCCTGACTATGTTCCGATTCCTCATAGTCGTTTCCTAAATATGTTGACTATGTCCATAGTCAACATAGTCGCGCTAGTAATCCTAATCCGAGTTACGTAATCCTGCTTGGTATCCGACGTTGGGTCGTGATACCTGGTCCCTTTGTTGGTGGGGCTTATCCTGTGACCTGCATGTTGGATGGATCATAACATCATCTCCCTCCTATGAATCGTTATCCCTAACGATCTTTCGTAAGTTTTCTCGGCTGTTCTCCCTGCCGTGTGTCGTGCCTTCCTAATCCATCATATCGGGCAGAGTCAACAAATCTCGCGCCCGCAAACCTTCTTCCGTCCCAAAAAGTACCCACGATCGAGATCTCTTAGTTTCCCGCCTTTTGGAGAATTTCGTCGAGATGCCCATCTGTTCCTATTGCAAGGGGCGTGGCCTCGGATCCTGCAAGGTGTCTCCCGGAGACTCTTCCCGTTGCATCGAATGTGTTCGCCTGGGTCGCTCCAAGTGCGATGTTATGGATCTCTCCCCTGAGGAGCTTCGCAATATCGCTACCCAACATCGAAAGTTGGAGGATGAGATTGAGAAGAGGGAGACCGAGCTTCTCCGTTTGCGTCAACAGAAGCGGATGTGGTCCGAGAAGATGAAACGTGCCCTGCGTCGTGGTATTACTCGCGTGGAGGAATTGGATCGTGTGGAGGCTGAGGAGGCTGAGGCTGAGAGGGTGCGTGTTGCTGCTGAAGTGCAGGCTGTAGTGGCTGAGGAATCTGCTGTTGTGGTTGGGGATCCTTCTTTTGAGAGTTTCGATTGGAATTCCGTGGACGTGGGGAATTCAGTGGTGGATTGGTCGGGTTTCCTGGAGAGTGAGATCTCTGAGGTCCCTGGGTCTCGGTCCGGGGCGGAGCGATCGTCCTAGGTGCTGGTTTCTTTCCTTTTTCAATACTCAGCTACTTTTTCCTGAGCATTCTTGACGTTTTTCTGTGGTTCCCACGAATTCTCGCTTGCTGGGTAACCTTTCCATTTGATGAGGTATTCCCTCGTGCTGTCTGTGCCTCTGTGCTTGAGGATCTTCTCCACCTTATACTCTAGTTTATTGTTTTCTACTTCTGCTGTGTTGTCCACTGGTGCTTCCTGTGCTGCTGGTTCCAGCAGTGAGATGTGGAAAACTGGGTGTATTCTCATCCTATGAGGTAATGCTAACTCGTAGTTGACTGGGGAAATCTGTTGCAAGATTTTGAATGGTCCTAATTTCTTGTGATCGAGTTTGTTGCTAGGTCTAGTTATTTTGATGTTTTTCCGAAGTAGGTAGACTTTATCTCCCTCCTGTAGGATTGGTCTCTCAATTCTTTTGGAGTTTGCGTATCGCATCATTCGTTCCTGAATGAATCGTAATTCTAACTGGAGTTCCTCCTGAACTTTCTTAATCCTCTTAACCCTTTTCTCTGCAGCTTCTGCATCTGCTCCTAGCAGTGCCTCGTAGTAAGCTGTTGGGTTATATCCGTAGAATATGAAGAATGATGACTTCTTCGTCGTGCTCGTATCTGCGCTATTATAAGCGAACTGTGCAAGGGGCAACAGGTTAACTCAATTGTCCTGTTCCTGATTGATATAGTATCGAAGATACTGTTCGATAATCTGATTCATTCTTTCCGTCTGTCCATCTGTTTGCGGGTGAAATGTTGTGGACATCCTGTAGTGTATTCCGAGCTGTTTCATGAGCGAAGTCCAAAACTTTGAGTTGAACTTTCTGTCTCTGTCGGAGATTACTTCTTCTGGCATGCTATGGTTAGCGATAATCGTTCTGAGGAACGCATATGCGAGTTCTTCTGCTGTACTGCTTTCCTTGTAGGGGAGAAAGTAAGCATACTTGCTCAGTCTGCAAACCACTACTAGAATGCTATCGTATTGTACTTTAGTTAAGGGTTCTCGTGAGAGAGATAGCTTGGTAATGAAGTCTAGACTGATGGATTGCCAAATAGTCATAGGTACTAGTAAGGGGTGCAGTAGTCCATAAGGCTTGTATCTCTCTGCCTTGTTCTTCTTGCAGCTGTTGCATTGTCATAGGATGTCTTCAATCCTTTTCCTAAGGCCTAGTGGATTCCAGTGTCTTTTGATGCATTCGTAGGTTGCCTTAACTCCCTGGTATCCGTGTGCTGGTGCACTGTGTACATCCTTGATGTAGTTGTCTTGTTCGTCTGGAGTCATTGATTCTGAATCCTTTTCCGAGGATCCAATCCTGAAGATAGCGTTCAGCTCTCTATATGCATTAACGAGATTCCCTGATTCGTCTTGGGCAAAGATGCTCTATATGTTCGAGAAATCTACGTTTCGATGGTCTAATCTCCTGCTAAGAGCATCTGCTCGTCCATTTTCTGAGCCTTTGCAGTGCGCAATCCTAAAGTCGAACTGTAAAAGGAATTCTGCCCATCTAACTTATCGCTTGTTCAAAACTTTGGTCGTTATGAATGTAGTCAGGTTTTTGTAATCCGAGTGAACTATGATCGGGTGCTGTGCACCGATGAGATAGTGTTGCCATTCCTCGAAGGCCTTCACTATTGCCATGAGCTCCTGATCGGGGATTCCGTAGTTGACTTCTGGGCTGTTCAACTTTTTCGAAAAGTTGCTCACAATCCTTAGACGCTCTTGGTCATCTCGCTGACCAAGTTGTTCCCCGAGTGCATATCCTGATGCATCAGTCTCAACTTCAAAAGGTTTGTAGGGATCTGCTTCATACAGAATTGGCTCTGAGGTGATGCGCCTGATGATCTCATCGAAGGCTTCCTGTGCCTTGGAGGTTCATTCGAAAGGCTGCTCCTTCTTGGTAAGATTCGTAAGAGGATGTGCGATCCAGCTGTAGTTCTTGATGAACTGCCTGTAGAAGTTGATATATCCGAGGAAAGACCTAACATCCCTAACATTCCTGGGAATTGGCCAATTCCTAACAGCTTCTACCTTATCTTTCTGTGGCTTAATGCATCCTGGTTCGATTGTGAATCCGAGGTAGTCGACTTTTTGTACGTGAAAGTGACTCTTTGCAGGTTCCACAAGAAGTTTCGCATCTTGGAGCATTCGTAACACTGTTTCCACGTGTTCCTTGTATTCCTTCAGTGTTCGAGAATAAATAAGAATGTCGTCGAGATATGCGATGACGAATTGATTCAGATGCTTGCGTAGAACGTGATTGATCATTTCTTGGAACGAAGCTGGGGCGTTCGTTAAGCCGAAGAGCATAACCAAATATTCGTAGTGTCCGTAGCGTATTCTGAAAGCAGTCTTCCATTCTTCTCCTTCCTTTATTCTGATCAGATTGTAGGCTCCTTTCAGATCCAGAGCTGTAAACCACTATGCTCCTTGCAATCTATCCCGTAGTTCCTTGATGAGTAGCAACGGATATCGGTTCTTGATCGTAATATCGTTAAGTTGCCTGTAATCAACACATAGCCTAAGCTTGCCGTTTTTCTTGGGTACAAACAGGATGGGGTATCCTGCTGGTGATCGCGATGATCGTATGTATCCCTTTTTAAGGTTCTCGTCGAGGTACTCCTTGAGCGCCTCTAGTCGTGCCTTGTCTAGTCCGTAGATGGGGAAGAACTTGGGCTGTTTTCCTTCTTCTAGCGGGATCTCGTGATTGTATAGGCCGTGTTTTGGCAATCCTGTATCCAATTCTTCCTGGAATAATTTCTTGAATTTGTAGTATTCTCGTGGTATGCTTGCGAGTGTTGGTTCTGGTCCATGTGCTGTTTCTGCTACCTGGAGGAACAGTAGGTACCGTTGAGCGTGCTTCTTTTCGTTCGTTGTTTTTGGTGGCGCTTTTGATGGCGTTTTTGGAGGCCTTGAGCGTTCGCTCCGGGCCGGACCGACCGCTCGAGGGCCTGGTTTCGGGATTTTTGTGTGGACCCACAATCCACATTCTGAAGCTTTTCCTTGTCGCTCCGGAGCGGACCGACTTGCTGAGGGTCTCGCTTCCGTTGTTTTGCTAACCTGTTGGCGCCCTGGCACTGTTTGGGTTCGCCTGTCACTAGGTCCTTCTCCTTAAACTGCCAGCCCTGCTGGTTTGGAGGTATATATGAAGTCGTTTGAAGCCTCTTTTCCTGAGTGTTCTTCAATAACTAACTTCCATCCTGCGCCGTTGATTGCAACTATCTCTCCGGGTACAGCTTGCTCCCATGAGATCTGGCCAGTAGTCCAATCGATTCGAGGATTGTGCTCTTTGAGCCATGAAAGTCCCATAATCAACTCATGCTGTGCCGTATCCGTGATGTCAAAGGAAATCCTGGTCACGTGTCCTTGGATCAAGACAGGTAGATGATCAGTCTCCTTATCGATTACTCCTTGGTTGTATGCAACGGGTTGTCCTTCCACGGTGCTGAGGGTGTATGGCTGCTTCTTCCATTTCCATTGTAGTTGTGCCTGATTGACGATATATGGGGATATGAAGTTTCCCTGAGCGCCACTATCCAATAGTGCGCTGTACTTGTGTCCTTGAATATATATGTCGAGCTTGATGTGAGCGTAGTCTGCTTTAAAGGCTTCACATAGGAACCGTTCCGGTCTGATCGTCTGCAGTCCTCTTACAGGCGATCCTGGCCTTTTGGGGTTGTTGAGAGCTGCTTGTCCTTCCTCTGAGCTTGCTTCGCTGCTTCTTGAGCGAGCTTTTTGGCTTGCTTTTGCCCGTATCATCGTTGCTCCTAGTCTTTTTTCTATTAATGCTAGTTGCGAACCTTGTTGTTGATGTGGACCGTGCAGAGCGTTGTTCTGCATTGCTACCACTCTATTTTCTTGTTCACGCATTGCCTGGGGCAGTTGTCTGGTAGCCCGATATATGCGTTGTTGTGCTGCCTGTTGAGAACTTCCCTGAAGCGAAGTTCTTGCTTCTTAACAGCCTGAAGGATTTATCCTGCTTCCCTAACGGGGAACCATTCGTGTTGCACTTTCTCCGAGAAATGCATTCTGCAGCTATGATAGGCACAGGAGATCCATGCCAGTTCGTGGTATAGGTCGTGAAGTGGGCTGATCCGAGGGTCCTCGTCTTGTCGTGCCTCAATGCCTTGCAAGGGGATGCAGGTAAAGAGCTTCTCTAGCCCTATCCCATAGACGAGATGTTTAACCCATGTAGTTTCCTTGTTCCATCCAATGCTGAAGGGAAACTTTCCTTTCCGAACTTCCGTAAGGCTGTCGGGTTCGCCATCCACGGAAGACCCTGGTGGATCGCTAAGTCGTTCGCCCTGGCTTGATTCTTCTGTTGTCTGAGAGGTATTTTCGGTGTCGTCTAGGTATTTGTACCAATAGCCAAGAGGGTACTATCCCTTATCTATATCCCTGGTTATGGTATCTGGCATAGGTAACGAGGAATGATGAAGGGTGTCGTTGCTAAGTCCCTCCTCCAACGCCTGGATGCTTTGTTCAGTGATGTTGGAGCGGTTCGAGTCGTTGTTGCTCGTAGTTGTGCTGGGCGTATATCCTCGCTCTTCTATCGCTATCTGCCTGTGGCGCCTAGGTTTCTGGGGGAACCATTCTGAGCCTTCCTTACTCAAGAGGTGTGTTAAGCAGTTGTTGTCATAGCAGAATGTCCAGCTGAGACTTCCGTGATCAACAGAGTCCGACACTTGCTCCGAGGGGATGTTTTTGCTCAGTTGATTGGATTCCTGTTGCTGAGCGACGTTCACTTGGCGTTCTTCCTGGACTGGTTGCTATTTGTTCTTCCGGGGTTGATGGCAGTTGCGTGCCATGTGTCCCTGTTTGTTGCAGTTGTAGCAAGTGATACTGTTCCTCTTGTTGTACTGCCTGTTGGCAGCATCGAGCTCCATGGGACCGGCATGCGTAGTGCCACTCTGGGCTATACTGCTATATCGTCCGCCATTTTTGCATTGGAGTTTCTTGCCCGTGTTGGCCGGAAACCTCCAAGTCTGGCTTCCTCCTTTCTTGGATTTCTCCACCCGTCGTTCGTACAGACAGTTGTCGATGCAGATTGCTTGGTTGGAGAACGTTGCGAAGTCCTCTGGCCAATCCTGTTTGGAGATTTCGTCCTTAACGTCGTCCTTGAGTCCCTTGTAGTAGTGTTCCATGAGATTCTTATCTTCCCACGGGAGTCTTGCTGAGAGTTGCTTGAACCTGACCGTGTAGGCAGAAGCCGACTTGGTCTGTTTGAGATCCATGAGTTGCTGAGCCGTGGTGCGTTCCTCGTTGGGATCGCCAAAGGTTTCCTTGAGAGCCTTCTCGAAACCTGCAAAGGAATCGAACATGTCCTTGGTACCCTGGGTACGCGCGTCGGGGTTGTCCTGATGCTCCAAGTGGTTGCGTAGAGAAGGTTCGTACCAGATAAGAGCATCCTTTTCGAGACGAGTTCCTGCAAGGATAGTTTTCTCGGGTTCCTCGGTGAACTGGATTGCATGATGCAAAAAGTACGCCCTGCAGTGGGTGAGAAACCCATGCAGTATCTTTTGATTGCCATCATACATGGCGGGTTTGTCCATCTTGTATGCCTTCCCAGCATTACTGGTAATCGTAGAGGTGGACTGCACCTGCTGAGCTTGTTGGGCTAGCTGGGCCTGCTGGTTGGCAATGGTGGCGCTCTGGGCCTGCTGTTGGTCGCGCAGGTCCTGGATACGCTGGGTGAGCTGGTACACCTGGTTGACCAGTTCTTCCTGAGTAGGGGCGCGCGAGGACGAAGGGGTTCCCTGAGGAGCCATTGTGTTCCGTATTGCTCAAGGGGTAACACTGAACCGTTCTTGAACAAGAGTTGTCAAAATGTAATGAGCACTGCAGCAATCCGAAGATTCCAAAGTACACAAGGGGTTTATGCTAACAAGAGCGGTGCCAAGTACAGGCCTTGAATACGGAACACAACTGAGTAACTGTGCAAGTGTTCACTGCCTTTGGGGCTATCAGAGTAAGAGAGTAATCTGATACTTAGATTGACAACTGAAGAGCTATGTACTGAATCTACCTAATGGTAATGAATGTGTCCTTATATATCCAGCTCTTCAGTTCTGACTATCCTGACTATGTTCCGATTCCTCATAGTCGTTTCCTAAATATGTTGACTATGTCCATAGTCAACATAGTCGCGCTAGTAACCCTAACCCGAGTTACGTAATCCTGCTTGGTATCCGACGTTGGGTCGTGATACCTGGTCCCTTTGTTGGTGGGGCTTATCCTGTGACCTGCATGTTGGATGGGTCATAACACCAAAGCAGCAACATGAGAGTGTTCGCAGCTCATATCATGTCCTGGTCATTATGAAAACACACACACACACACACACACACACACACACATAGAGGTACTCGGCAATATATACTCTCGAAACTACCAACATTACAATAGTCTACTGCAGTATCACATAACTCGTCCCATGCGGCTCAATCCCACTACTGGCCACCAAGTTACTCCCGTCAAAGGTCCAGCTCACATTGCCCCAGGGCTGCGACGCAATCCTCGACACATTCAGCCCGCCCGGCATCTGAATCGCCAGATCCACCGCCGCCGTCGTCGTGTTGGCCGGGTTCACCACACCCACAAGCACACCATCCCCCTGGACCGCCCAGTACGCCACATCCAGACTACTACTACTACTACTACTACTACTACTACTACTACTACTACTGCTACTACTATTGCCACCAGCGCGGCGCCCGTCGCTCACCAGCACTGGGTTCGCGCCCGTGAGGAAGTCCACCACAGGCGAGACCGTGACCACACGCGCCAGCAGGCTGGTGGCGTTGCCCAGGACGGCCGAGGGCGGGTAGATCCAGGCCAGCCTGCCCTTGGCGCCGTGGTTGAAGGCGAGCAGGTCCATGGCCCAGGTCTCGTGGGCGGTGGGGTCGCGGCTCCAGTAGTTCTCGCCGGAGAAGGCCTGGGGCACGGCCCAGATGGGCTTGCGCAGGACGGCGCCGCCGCCGCCGATCCAGGAGGCGTAGGCGCGGAAGTCCTCGACGCGCTGGGGCACGTTGAGCAGGTTGAAGTCGCCGACGCAGTTGTCGCAGCCGCAGTCGCCGTAGGTGCGGTTGACGGGGGTGTCCCAGGCCGGCGAGAAGGTCCAGTTGATGCCGACCGGGTAGGCGTCCTCCATGATGATGTCGGCGCCGGCCGAGTACTGCGCAAAGTAGTAGTTCTGGCAGTTGAGCACGAGCGCGGTCGGGTGGTACGGGTCCAGGGCGGCGAGGAGGTCGTAGGCGTCCGTGGTCGAGTTGAAGGTGTACCCCCAGCCGTCGGGCTCGTCGGCCGTGTAGTAGCTGAGCAGCGATGGGTGGTCCTTGACGAGCGGCACCTGGCCCGCCACCGAGGTGAGGTTCTGGTACGAGTTGCGCATGTCGTACTGCCACAGGAGGTCGATGCCGTCCATCTCGTCGATGGTGTACGTCATGTCCGAGTCGGTAAAGTCTGTGACCGGGTTGAGCGCGTTGAAGCCTAGGTCTCTGTAGGTTGTAGGCTCGCCTGGGATGTCGAACCAGCCGCCGTAGTCGCCATAGTAGCCGTAGGGGAAGTACGGTTTGAACACGTTGCCTGTGTTGTTGCTGCGGTACAGGATCGAGCTGTAGAGCCTGTCGATCTTGACCACGCTGCCGTTGGTCTTGTCGGGCAGGTAGAGGAGCTCCGAGGAGGCCGAGTAGTTGCCCGTCGACGTGCTGCCCGTCAGCACGACCGGGTAGGGCGTTGTCGTTGGTGTCAGCTGGCTCACGTTGAACTGCACCAGGTTGTCGGTCGTGTTGACGCCGACACTGGCAGATCCGATGTCGATCCCTCCCACCGTGAGCGTGAAGCTGAGCGTGTCGGGAGAAGATGAATTGCTTGCCCCTGATGACGTCGACGACCCTAGATAAGGAGCGCCGTGGTAGTAAGAGAGTGCCGCGTCCACGATGAGCTCTGCGCTGGTCTCGCTCCCGACGTAGATGCTGTGTCGAGGCGTGACCTGGACATCCAGCAACGGGCTGCTCGAGGCTTCAGGCTCAACCATCCAGCCGCCCGGGATGATTTGCGCCGATCTGCATTTCCAGAAATTCAGTCAGTCAATTCGGAAAACAAATTCCCTTCTTTCCCACATGACTTGAATGAATGGAAAAGTCTCGCATTTGAAGCAGGCAAAGAGTTAAAAAAAAAAAAAAAAAAAAAAAAAAAAGAATGCTCACCCATTGTAGACTTTGCCGCACCAAGTATCTTGCGCCTCGACGGACCCCCAGAGCAGCATGATACCCGGGATGACGGCCGAGAGCCATGATGCTGGGTGGTAAGGCATGACTGGCGATGGCTCAAGGCGACTGAGTGTCGCGTCTCAACTCTGGACGATATTTTCCACGCGTCTGCGCAGCAAGTCGAAATGAGGTGACGAGACCCTTCCCTCTCCCTAATAAATTGGGGATGACGACGATTGGTGGTAATAGTGGTGGTATTAATTTATCGCGGCCGTGCTCCAAATCCTCCCCCCTTATCCGTTGATTGTGACGCAACATCTGGAAAGGAGCCAGGCACCCGGCCATCAACCTTAACGTTGCATTGTGTGGGGTTGATGCGAGGCGATGTGGCGCATATTTCCTGCTCACTAAAAGGCAGAAATAGGAAGGTGTGGGCTGTTTACATAAAAGCAATGGCATCTGTAGAAACTGATCTTCATCTTGTTAAAAGAAGCCGACTTTTCCGGACCCCAGAACACTTGGCGGTCAATGCACCGAACAGCCACCGACAACTCACAGACGCCTTCATCGCAAACAACACCCAAGGTCAATGCAGAGAAACTTTTCACTTAACTTGTGGCTGGCATGCAATCTCCGCTCTCTGCAATTCGGTACCAGGACTTGAGGAAACTCTGCATCCCCCCCCCCCCTCTCTCTATCTTTTAACGTAGCCCACCGCTGGCTCTCAAGTGCCGCTCAAGATTCCCGCTCCGAGTTGATTCCTCACGCTGTGTAAACATTCGGCTGCACAGTCTGGTGCCTCAAGATCCGCTGATACTCATTTTCCAGCCAGGAATCAACCTGTCCGACCAGCTGGACGTTCATCATCGCTAGCATGAGGAATTTTGAAGAACGTGTTCATCCCGTCCGGGCTGTTGCCGTCCACCAAGCCGTTAAGCGGCCTTCCTGTTGGCGCAGGCCAGCACCGGCGCTACGTTCATGCACACTCGCAAACATGCTGTCTGAACTCGTCGCTCAGCCCGACGAGATTGTGCCTGCTGCACGACGCGTGAATGTGGGACACTGTGCCCGTCTGGAGGTCCTAGTACCCTCCATGAAGTTGCATGACAGGCCAGCAGAAACAAGTATGCTAGCCAATGATGCTTGTGTCAGGAGGTCGCAGTGCTTGCATTGAAATTACCACGCTGATCACGTACGTAATATCATGTCTGTCATACAGGTGCACGCAGCTACTTGCGGAAATCCAAACACTTGATAAGATGGACTTATGGAATCCTCCCCATCCATTTCTCGTGGGAAGGACAGCACGCTGAGTTCGTCCTCGTCATCGTGCGAGAGGGAAAAAAAGAAAAGAAAACAAGGCAGAAATGAATGTCAGCATTTGCAGAACTTGCCGCCTGTGTACTCCCATGCTGCTCATAGTCTGCATCATAGGCCCATTTCCAACTGTTTCCGAGACATTGAGGCTCTTTCACGTCTGTGCCCCTTTTCAGAAGTAAGCTGTCTCCGCTTCGTGTCCTGTGTGGGTGGTGTGTGATCAATTCCAAATCCATTCACGACACGAACTTCTTCGGACGCAAGCACTATACCGGACCAGGCTACCCAGTATCATCAGTATGGCTGTCCTGGTTGGGAGAGAGAATTATACCGGTCCGTCGCTGACACCGCTTCCACCTTCGCCGCCATCGCCACCATCCTGGCTACTCGGAACTTTGTTTTTGGTTCTGCTGGTATTGCGATCGATCCGTGAGTGGTATGCCTGAAGACAGGCGCGGGAAGTTCGGCGCATAATGAGATGACGGACATCATAGATCTTGGCCATGTTGAGCTCTGCTACAAAAGGGTGGCCGAGGTGGAGCAGAGAAAGCGCATGGCACACGGCGTGGATGCCAGAGCTCTTGTAGTGCGGAAGCAGCTGCACAAACTTGTTTTCTAGGACCGTATCATCGGTAACCGAGCCAGGGTACGCCGTCTTGATCTGGGCGATAGCCTGATTGAAGGACTTCTTGCCGTACTGGGTATTCAGCTCGCCGTATGGGTTGTAGACCACGATTCGACCAAATTTGGGCTCTCCGCCCTCAACCTCGGTGACCTGGAGACAAGTAGTGAACCAGTTCCAGGTGTTGTAGCATCCAATGCCGACGATTGTGCCTGGCTGGGCAATGACGGGTATCTTTTCGTCGCATAGGATGGCGACTCGTCGCGTTGGTCGAGCTGGGCCAAGGAGGTGCACGGCGATACGGATAGTCTCGATCTCCATATCAAGAGTCTCGGCGTCATTATCATGTTTCTCCCCGTACATCAATGGGCCCCATCCCGAGAGTGTGTTACAGCCCAGGAGACGCTCCCAGACCACGGAGGGATTGACAACCCTGAGGTGCTCGCCGGTGGGACCTTTCAACTCGACAGCCGACTCCTCATGTACATTCCAACCGCTCACGGACCCGGCAATCTGGACAGCCAGGGAGTCAGAACTGGTGTGGGCCATTCTGACAGTAAGCTCTGCATCGATTGGTCTCGGCAGTCCACACGCTGCTCGGATGGTGTCGAGGGCCCGCGTAAAATCTTGTATGTCCATCTCGGACTTGAACCGTTGACTGCCGCCTCTATTCTCGGTGAAAGGCTGGATGAGCTTGACCAGCGCTTTGAGGAAGCCAGTGAGCTGTGAATTCTGGCAGCTTCGGTCGAGGAGGATCCTGACCAAAACTTCCATCAAGGTCCACATGCCATCAAGACCACCGCCGGTTGAGAGCGCCTCACTGAGTGGGAGAACCAAGATTACTTCGGGACCGTACGCTTCGATCAGTGGATGTATGATGCGGCAACGCGCCCCGGTATTCGTGACGTTTTCCAGCACAGTTATCATGGGATCACTACTCGTCTCCTCGGACACGGAATGGGCTGCCATGACACCAAGGCGGTCAAGCAGGTACGCAGGGTTGTTGAGGATGCTGAGCAAGCCATGCGCTTTCCAAGCGGCTATCACGAGAAGCTTTGTGTATATCTCGAGGTTGGTCTCGAAGAAGAGGCTGCCATAGTTGCTGAGAAAAAGGTTCTCCCATTGCTCCCGATACGACGGGCGATTCTGTCTGTCATGTTCACTCATCCTCTCAGCTAGAGCCGGGGGGGAAATCGGCAAGCCTCGGTTTACGGAATTTCGAGCAATCGTCTTCGTGGTGAGAATCGCCGCGTTACGGGTGAGTGCGGTTTTGAATTCCTTCGTCGCAGCATGCAGCTTATCGTAATTGGTTATGGCAGTCTTCTCAGCCTCACGAAGCTCAACCAGCTTCTGCTCGCACGCATCGATCTCTCGGCGCTTCTGCTGGAGCTCTTCGTCCATCTCTTCCCTCTTACGCTTGGTGTTATCACAATTGACCTGTGCTCCTAGGAGGAGCGGATCGACAGAAGCAAATGCGTCAGTGGCATTCTGGATAGTTTGTTGGATTGCTTGCTGGTGCTTGGAAAGCTCAGAAATGGCTGTGGTGTAGGCATCAACATGAATGCTATCTTGATCATGACTAGCCATGACGATGTTGGCGACACTCTTCAAGCTGAAGAGAACAGGAATGTTAACTCGCTGCCTGACTAAGGCGCGTGCCTGAACTTAGAAATCAGTGGAACAAGGAGCAGGTGGGAAGTGAAAGTTGGGGTATATGGGAAAAAGGACAGAAAGCAAAGCTGTTGGCAGGGGCGAAGTGTTCTGCTGGCGCAGTGAGAAGTATGCCATACAACTTTCTGTGTGTTTTGAAGGCGAAGGCTAACAATGGATCACGCGTCGAGGAGAGGGGAGAAGACAGGAAGACGCGTCTTACAAAGCCCTCTGTCAACGATTCTGGTTAAAAGGCAGCAGTTCGAACAAGGGTGCAAAAGCAACTCTGGCTCGATGGAAAAATTTTCTATCGCTATGGGGAGCTGCAGTGTTGATGAAACTTGATCGTGCATCAACGAAGCTCTAGATTGAAAGCTTAAGTGGTACCTCTTTTCTTTTGTCCTGCACCGTACTTATTCCTAGCAGGGGGAAGAAGAGGGGAAAAGGGGGGCATGCTGCAGTACTAACTTTCAAGTAATTAGTGCTGACACTTTGGAAAAAGCAATACATCTCCAATATCATATCTCAACTTTCTACCCGTGGGCACTAGCCACCCTGGCCCACTACCTCCGTTCCTCCCGTAGTGGGTGCCAAAATAGGTTGCCGGCCAAAAAGGTGTCCATTTTGGAGGAATTTTTTTACTATGGGGCTGCCACCAAAATCCGGTGCTTAAGCCATGACTGATAGTTGAATTGAAATATTGCAACACCACGATGTCGCAAGACAACAAAAACTTAGTATTTCTATTCACAGACCTCGAGGAATAGGTGGTGAGGAACTTATATCCTCATCACTGTACCAGGCCTCAGCATCGTGCAACGCCATATGAAGGTCCCTCGTAGCTTGCAACGAGGCCATATCTATATCTTGAAGAGGGTGCTCGAGGCCTTGCCCTAGACCAGATATCTCTGCATCGCTTGAAACGGGTATAAAGTCCTCATCATCGATCTCAACCTCGTCAAGAACCTCGACATCGTCAAGGACCTCGATATCGTCAAGCTGTTGCATATCCGTAGGCAATAGTTGCTGTGGTGGCGTTCAACATTCCTCTTGAGTTGCCAGCTGAGCCTCAGGGCAATGGATCGTCAGCCAGTCCCTGAAGAGGATTAGCTGGCCTTGATATCTCTCATGAGCTTCCTTCCACGCTGTTTGTTGCTCTTTTCGCATTGTCGCTTTTCTCTGTATCTCGTCCTTCCTCGCCTTGGCTTCTTTACGCTTCCTAATACGAGCAATTCTCTGTATTTCAGCTTGACGACCTTTCTCTTCGACCTGGATATTCCGATGCTGTACATCGCGAACAGTGAGGCTATCCCCTACCTCGCCGTCTGGCCTGACCTGAGTTTTTGTAAGCTTGCCCTAGTATTCTCTCAGCCTGCTCTGGTACTCTCTTCCATCGTTTTCTAGCCTGCCTTTGAGGGGGACTGATTCTGTAGCTATCGAGCTCAATATGCTTAAGCCTCTGCGAGTGCCTGAGAACAACAGCTCGGCGTAGTGGTTCAGGGGCCTAGCAGCAGTGCGTAGGCCTTGTGCATCGGTCTCAGCTGAGAGGGAAGGAAGGAGGTCAGGATGCTTAGAGCGCTTCGTCTTCTTTTGCTTATTAGTTAGATCTGAAAGGACGAGGTGATAATCGATAGGCTAGAGGCCTGTTTTCTCGAAGCTGCTCATTATATGTATTTCTGTAAATGCGTAGTTAACTATTAGCTAAGCAAGGTCAGTAGTGAAAGAGAAAACAGAACAAGAGACATACTTGTAAGGCTTGTAGTACAAAATCGTTTCTTGTAAAGCTGAGATTGCTATGATGAACGTTTTCCAAGAGGATTTGACGATGCCTTGCTTTCAGCTACTAAAAAACGCCTACATTCATTGGCTGCAACAGATGCGTGGAGTGAGAAGGTAGGAAGATCATGATGATGTTGAAGCGAAAGCAGTAATCCAGGATTTCAATGCTGTAATGCTCTGAAAAGCTATCAAGGATAAGACAGCGATATATCCGATGATGTTGAGTACGTTAGCTTAAAGCTATTGTTTCAGGATCTTCCTTCTGGCGCTAGTTGAACTTCATAGTACTGTTGATGCCAAACTACTCTTTAAGCGTATATCCAAGCCTTTTCAGGTTTGCGTAATGAGTATAGGAGTGCTTGTTGAAGTGCTGAACCCAGTTGAGCATGATACAAGCATTTGAAAAGCTTGTATCAGACTTAGCAAAGCATATATCTTCATCAAAACCATCTAATGCCCAGCTTGAATGCAGCTACTGCTTGAAGATACAGTATGCAGGAATAGCATCGCCAGCAGCGCTGCTACAGCCGATAAGAGTCATCGACTCTCTATTGTTGAAGTTGTAGACCTCCCTCTTCATCTTCCGTTGTGTAGCAACGACGATGCATTGAATGCAACCAGATAGAACGCCAATACAGTTGCCACACTCATCAGCGTTCCAGATAGCTGAGGGTATTAGCCTATACGAGGCTATAGCAGCTTTGTATTTATTGAAAAAGCTTTTCAAATTAGCTGTTGCAAGCTCGAAGCCTTGACAACCTGCTTCGACGAACTTCATATGGTTTGGATCAATCTCAGGATGCCTATTCAGCTATCGCTGTATGAAGTGAGAACTAATTGGCTCTTTTTGATGCGTTGCTCACATAGAATTAGCAGCATCGATGAGCATTAGCCTAAGCAATGGAAAGTTGCTTGAATCAAGCTGCATTACATATCTGACGAGGGCTTCATCTTCCCAGGGCTCGAGGTAGTTTGGGCGGCCTGGAGGCTTCGATGTAAGGGCAGGCAAGCTGTTTCGCTGTATCTCGCGGATATGCTTCGTAAGGCCGGTTCTGCTATATGGCGTACAATCAGCAAAAGAGCGAAGAGAGGTCCTTGAGGGCTTGATAGGCCTGGGGTCTTCTCGAGGGCGCCTCCCTTGACGACGGCGCCCTCGACGCACTCGCCACGCCTCGAGGTTGGTCAGGAAAGCCTCGTGAGCCTTGTCTTCTCGAGCCTGAATGGCTAGAAACCTAGCGGCAGCCTCTATGCACGTCTGAAAAGGGCCTGGAGGGTCCTCAGGGCCAGGGCTGGAAGCCATCGCGATAGTTGCTGAGGAAAGGGAGGGTGTGTTGGTGAGGAAAAAATACGTTGAAAATGGACACCTTTTTGGCCGGCAACCTATTTTGGCACCCACTACGGGAGGAACGGAGGTAGTGGGCCAGGGGTGGCTAGTGCCCACGGGTACTCAAAGCACAACAAATCCAATACCACCTCTTCTTCAATGCTGTCATTCTATTCACTCCCCCTCTGCAAACCTCTTATTCCTTTCCACATAAGCGTCATTCCAGACCTGCACAACATTTGTGTCGTGTGTACCAGCAGAGACCTCAAATTTCGGTTCCTCCCTGTAATACAGCTCCTCCAGGTTGCCCTCTACAGAAGCACCGCTCTGTCCCTGGCTCACCCATTTCGCCCTGCCCTCGGTAGCTAAGCGGTCGAACTCAGCGAGCTCATCAAATCCCCTCAGTAAGGTACTCATGGGCGTTATTATTGACTCAGGGAGCTTCTCCATCAAGCCTGGGGGCGGCAGTCCCGTTGCTGTCACGGCGGGGCAGAGGCACTTTGACAACAGTTCGCAGTCAGTAATGATCATGCGTGCCCACAACCCTTCGCCAAGAGCAACAACAGAGCACAGAAAGAGAGGGTCATGACTCTGGTGGTCTAGACGCCTCATACTTCCATAACGCATTCCAGAAAAGTCCCTGGGCCAACCTCTCACGATGCGGAGTGGAAGGGCTATGGGCGGCCGACCGCTGATCAACTCACATTGATCCGAATGTTGACCTCCTTGGCAGCTGGCGCAAGAGCCCGCACTAGGCCCAGGACGCCATATTTTGTAGAGCTATACTGCGGCAGAAGAGGATGTGCCCGAAAACCAGATACTGATGCCGTGACGACGACCTTGCCGCCCTGGGCCACCGGCTCCGGGTTGCGGCTCATGTAGTGCGCCGCGAGCTTGAGGCCGTAGTACGGTCCAAACAGGTTGACCTCAAAGGTGCGCATGTTGGGCCGGCGCGGCGGGAGGTCTCCAGACGAGATGGAGCGGAAGATGTCGTCTCTGTCGTCGATGCCGGCGTTCAGGGCGCAAAAGTCCAGGCGCGAGAAGCGGGCGTGAGCCTTCTCGAAGGCAGCAGCGAGCTGGTCCCAGTCTGAGACGTCGGCACTGAGAAACGTGGTGAGGTCTGGCAGGACGGGGAGGACAGGCTGCTGGAGGTCGACGATGAAGACGTGCCATTTCTTGGCGATGAGGTGGTTGGTGAGAGCCAGACCGATACCACTGCTGCCGCCTGTCACGATGGCCACCAGCGTTCCACACAAGTCAAGTCAAGGCAAGCGGTAGCCCTCCACTTGACTTGCTAACTATTTTGGCCGCTTGCTTGTCTTCTAGTACCTGGCCGCTTGATTCGCTTGGTGACTTGGTCACTATACCGGATTAGGAATGTACGATAGATATACGAAACGAAAGGTGGTGAGAGTAACAAATGAGCTACGCACGTGGTTCAACCGGTACAGAGGCATATGATGATAGTTTTCCTTGTTACGCTCTGATCCGCGCGAGGTCCCTCGCTCAAGTGCTGAAAGAAACATTTCTGACCCCCTCGAATGCCTTTTTTTGGCAAAAAGCTGCTAGGCAATGCCTTTCCTCCTCATCTCTGCTGCTGGTCCTGCCAGCGTTCCATTTTTCAGCCAGTCCTTGAGGCACAAAAGGAGCTCGAGAGTGCTGCTCTTCATTCTCCTCCTCTGCGAGGACATCGTAAGCTTCCCTTGGCTGAAGACTCTCTCGCATTCGGACGACATCGCGGGGATAGATAGGACGTCGAAGGCCATCTGTGAGAGGGCTGGAAACTCGGCCTTACGCGCTGCCCACCAGACGAGGGGCTCAAAACCATCGTCGTCCTCGTCGTCCTCTTCTAGCTGGAGATATTTCTCCAGCTCTGACTGTGGCCGTTGATGCTTTGGCCTTGGTTGTGCCCTGAAGGCGGTCCTCCACTGCTTCTTTGGCTTGTTATGTTCTTGATCTTCCTGCAAGCTGGGTGTTGATGCTGATGATAAGGCTGGATCTTTATATGCCCAATATTTCTCGTAAAAAGCCTTAAACTCTTGTTCAACATCGTCAGCAATAGCTGGCGCTGCTATACGAATACCAACCAGGCGATATTTCGGATGCAAAACAGCAGCAGCAAAATATATAGGGCATTCGCGAAGCTTGCTCTTATATCGCTTGAGAATTGCCAACGCGTGGGCTACTGATTCTCTCAGAAACTCAGCACCTTCAAGCCCACATTCCTCGGGGTATATCTCAGCCTCTTGTTGAGAACCAACATCTGGCCATTCCCGTACTGGAGTGCTGGGAAATATATCTGAAGACTGTGAAGCTCGACGGCGAGGGGAGGATCGAGGGGAGGGTCGAGGGGAGGGCCGAGAGGAACGCTGAGAGGAGGGCCGAGAGTAAAGTCGAGAGGAGGGTCGAGGGGAGGGTCGAGGCGAGGGCCGAGAGGAAGGTCTTGAAGGGGCCTGATATCGCGATGAGGGCCGCTGGAGGGCTGGTTTCTCTGCATTTGGCGAGACAATAATCTCCTCAAGGATTTCTTCTTCAGCATACGTTTTTCTGCCTCCAAATCTCTCCTGAAAGGACCGCAAATGCTTCTCGAGATCCCACAAAGAACTGAGGACATCATGAACAGCTACAGCGTTCCCCTCGTGGTGTTTTGTATGCCATAGGAATGGCTGCAAAAGATCTCGAGTTGCCTCAAGCACTCGCCAGTCCTGCTCACTCAAAGGTTGTATTTTAGCACCGCTTCGAACTTGCTCTTTAACCCAGAAATCAATAGGTCTTTTCAGCCTCAGCAGCCGCGATATCTCAGCCTCTGTTGAGTTCCATCGCGTCTCCTGAGCTACCACTGGCCGCAAGGTAGATATATCGCCAGTTTGCTCATCTGTAGGGTCTGTAGGAAGCGGTGGTGGTGGCATCGTGAGGTCTTGTGCTGTTGGCTGAGGAAGGGCCTCTGCCAAAAAGGCTGTAGTGTCCTCGAGATCTTGGTCCTCTGGAGAAAACAAAGAGTTCTGAACAATCTTCTCGAAGTCCTGGACCCGCTGTACACTTGCCTTGAGGAAGACTACAATAAGATGAGCGCGGCGTATAGGTCCTTCTCGCTGCCACTGATCCCACTGATTCCTCTGTTGCTCGAGTTCCTGCTTAAATATTAGCAATAAGCCAGGAAGATACAAAACAGCTCGACTTACCTCATCAGCATCGCTGTCTTCAGCCTCGAGTATCTGTTTAGCGTTACCAGAGAGGAAGCCTTTGACAATAAGGTTAATAATATGGCCCCAGCAGCGGCATCGCCGTTCAATCCGCAGCTTCTCAGCTTCACGATGATTGAAGCCGTACATCTTGCGAAAAAGAAGCCTTGTTGCCTTGTCGTTCGTGCTGTCGTTATCAAAAGTAAGCCAGCCGAGCCGCTCCTCAAGCTGAAAAGCCATAATAACCTGATGGAGATGCCACTGGAGGTTCTCGCCAGTATGCTGGCCGTTGATCATCCTCACTGCTATAAGGCGATTTCGCAGCTTTGCATCGCTATCAACAAAATGCGCAACCACTGCTAGAATGCCTTTGTGGTTAGGCGAGGTCCAGAGATCAGCAGATAGATGAATCTTCGAGATAGCCTCGCGCTGGAGCTGGAGCTGAAGACCAGCTAGGTTCTCGTGAAACGCCTCAAACAGCCATCTCATCACTGTGCCATCACTTCGAGGGAAAAAGTGCTCCGTCAGGGTGCTATTCCAGACCATCAACAGCTGGCGGAACTGAGGCGCCTCGAGAGTTGAAAGAGGTATATCGCAACAAGCAACCAGCTCTGTTATAGCCTTCTTCGCGAGACTAACAACTGCACGAGTTGGAGCGTTGGCAGCGTCTTTCAAGGCATCAGGCGCTGTATATAGACTGCTGTTGTTGAAAAGGCCACGATGGTTTATTCTTCGCCGCTTTCGCCGGCCAAGCTCCTCTGGGCTAACCTCCTCTTTCTCTGCCTCTGCAACAAGCTCTTTCAGCTTGCCAAGGTTATGGCCCTCGTTATCGCGACCTTCGAGATGCTTTAGAGCTGCTGATGTGCTTGTCGAGATACTGTTACGCGTGGTATATAAGGTCTGTCGATTATTTTGATCGCAGAGGCGACAGAACCACCAATCCGCTGCAACTTTGCATGTGCCGTCAGCCTGTACGATGACCTCGAAGAGCTTCTCGCCGAAATGCCAGATATCAGACCCGTGGCGCTTCCTCTTGGCCGATGATGTTGGCATCCAGCGAGCTGGGACAAAGGCATGGGATCGTCCTGGAACCTTAATGCGTGGGAGGTCTTTGAGGGTACCAAGAGAGAACTGTGCTGTGGCATCGTGGGCATCGATCTGCTTCTGGATAGAGGTATATCTCGCGTGGCTAAGCTGGTTGAAAGCATTGCTATTAGCCATGATAGTGAAAGGAAAGCGATGATAGATAAACGCGAGGACACCCAGGTGCGAGACGCGAGGAAGTAAACGCGAGGATGCCAAGTACAAGGGTAGAAGAGGTACAGAAGAGCTTGCCTGCCAGCGGAGGAAAAGACTTAATACGGATATATAGGCCGAATAGCCAAGGGCCAGGGCAAAAGCCTAGGCCAAAACACCAAAAACCCCAGCAAGGTTGCATCCAGAGTGGGCCGCGATAGCTTCAACTGAGCCTATAAGGACCCACAATAGGACTGAGGCAATTCGCTTGTTCGCTTGCAAGCCGCTTGGTCAAAAAGGCCGCTTACTTGTCTTGAAGACCATCGCCAAACCGTCAACTTCGCTTGTCAAGCCGCTTGATTCCGCTTGACTTGTGTGGAACGCTGATGGCCACGCCGACTGGATCTGAGGTCATGATGAGATTGCGATGACAGAAAACTGCTGAACAGTGAAGTGAGTCTGTTTCGACCCGACAAGCCCCTCGTCTATGAAGCTGTCCAAGCTAGCAGCATAGACTGCTTGGAAGTGTGTTTAGCAGACAGAAAAGGCGTGATGAATGAGCAGTCGGAGCTGCTGACACAGGCTGCGGGATTCATTCTGCACTCCACCCCTGCGCGTGATACTCTAGGTAGTGGTGACCTTAGGCATCGAGCGGGGTGTGTCGGCAGTCAAGTCTTAGAACCTTAGCAAAATTCTCCCTTCTCCTCGACAGCACGAAGGCCTGTCGATGCTCGTACTGACATAGAAAAAGTGGCATGTGTCTGGATTCAGTTTACATGAGCTGCTATCTTGACGCTGATTTACACCACGACGTTGATGTAGCAACCTTTACTGGGCTGATCAGCAGCATGTTGCATCGTTCTTGGTCCATCTCAAGTACCCTGGACGGAACCTGCATACGTCTCAAAATCTCGTCTCATCACCGCATCATCATGAATTCTCAGTGTAATCAGAAACATTTCTAGTAATCTGCATACTAATCTCAGTTAATTCTTTGCTGTAGCTACAATCGTTCTACCCTCCAACTTGCCCGCCCCATCAGGGAATCTGTGTCTCAACCGCCTGACCATCGTCTGTACCGCCTGCTCCAAGTCTTCCTCTGCCATGGTCGCAGTCACCGCCTTCACACTCGGTATATTCGCCAGACTGAACCTCGTCATCGCCTCGGGCTCTTCAAACCCATAAAATACCTGCACCTCTTCCACACTCACATCTCTGAACCCTGCCTCCTCCAGCCGCTGCCTGACAGCCTCGACAGACGCCCACGGCGTCGGAACACGCGTAAGTTTCGTGCCCGGCCTCACTGTGTTCAGCACGTCCTCGATGAAATTTAACCAGTTCGCTGAGCGGAAACTGGTCATCCCGAACACACCCCCAGGGTTCTTCAGAACCCTCCTGATCTCCGCGAGGACGTCTCTAGGCCTCTCTACCGTGAAGAGCAGCAGGCCTGCTGTCACATGGGTGAATTCATTGTCTGGAACGCCCGCTGTCACGAGGTCCTGCGCGTCCCAGACGGCCGTCTCCACCCGCTCCCAGATCTTGTTCCCCTCGGCGATTTCGGTAGCTTTGCGCCTCTGGACCGTGGTGACCATTTCCGAATTGAGGTCCGCAGCGACGAGGCGCGTGTGAGCGGGAAGGTCAGCGCCGTAGGTGTCTAGGAGGCGGCCGAGTATCTGGGCGACACCACAGCCGAGATCGAGAATGGCAGAGGATGAGGAGAAGGGAAGGATATGATTTGTCTACACAGCAACCCCCCCCCCCCCCTTCGTAAGCATGTCCTTCCTGCTTTGGAGGGAAATGGGGAGAAGGGAGGAGGTGGATCTCATTACACACCTTTTGAAGAAGCTTCTCATTCAGAGTGGTTGTTGGGCCGTCGAAGGCCCTCTTTAGAAGGGCAGCCGAGGAGGCATCCCAGGATTCTGTCGCAGCTGTGGGAGAATGAGGGTTAGATTAGTGGGCTCGATTGTGAAGCTGATAGGCCCCAGCCTTGAGAGAGAGAAAAAGAATGTGATATTGGACGTACGAATTAGTGCTGGAGGCATTTTATGACATTCGAAAAATCCAAGGGGATCATAGAGGAACAGGCAATGTGGGCTAGGTACCAATGGAATCTATAGTTAAAGAGGGGAAATCATCACTTTGGAGGGCAGGACGTATCTGTTCGCATGTCAGCAAACAGAAATCGGTGTTATCAATCCGAGCGACCCGCATCCCATCAGCCGCCAAGAGCGAATGCAAGTGCTACGCAGTTGCTCACGCAGTATAAGCAGTTGTCTTTAACACTCCGGGGTTGGAATCCTTTTCAATACACTATGCCTCTTTGAGTTGCTGAATTATATTCCCAAACAATATCCTAAATGCCTTCCTCTGAGGCCCTTGGCAGTCACGATGGTGGCACACGGAGACCAAGCGTTCGCTCCATTAATCAATTACTCGCTACACATTCTTGGGGATGGCAATAATCCAGCTCCCTTTCGCGATACAGCCAGAGAGAACACGCTCGAAACTAAGAAATCATTTTGTATGATTATATGGGGGGCTCAGAAAGGCTGAGAAGAATGACCAAGGACTCTTCGAGCTCACTGATGCCATCTCATTTTGCTGTTAGATACAGTAAGATGCGAGAGATTGGAGGAAATATAGAATGGACAGGGAAGAAGACAATTAAGCCTCAAAATACAGTATGTTTGTCCATAGTCAGTATTATGAGTTGAGCAGCAACCATCTAGATTGTCAAGCCAGGCACCGTTTGGAGCCAATAAGGAGTGCTGTGCCTGTCTGCTCTTTAAATGAAGGACTGAGTACAATCTAGGTAATAAACCTGAATGCATGTCTTCACCTGGAATTCTGATCTACTTCTTGTTCGTTTCCTCCTCCACAGGACAAAACCATAGCATAGAAAGGAATCACCAGAATTGGAGACGGAATTGCTGTGAAAAATGTAAGAGTTTCTCTCACTTGTGATGCAATCTATTACTCGCCATAGCACAGAAAAGAATAGCGTATATGGTTCTGTTGCCCGAGACATAAGCTGTGACAGCATAGTCTGAATTGTATTCCGATAAACTCGCGTTATACTAACACCAGAGGTTGATTGCCTTGCAACGCGAAATCATGAGGTCATCTTGAAATTCACAGACACTCAGGGGTGGCAGTGACAACGCTTCTTGTCATGTAAATTCCGAGGCCCCATTTGACTGCGCCCGTTGTTCGTCTCAACCAAAAAAGAGGATCCCATAAGTCTCCCTTGCATGGCTGCCTTCTCACCTCGCCCACGCTTGCAATTGAGTGGAGCAAACCACAAATCCAGTCCTCAACTTGCACTGACCTGTTCTTATCGGCCAGACTTCCAGCTGCTGATTATGGTACATGCAAGTCCTTGCTATAACCACTGATTGTATAATACTACGTTGTATTAGCACGAACATGTGGATCTCGGAATGATGTGTCTTTACTCACGATTCTCAAGCGATTTCCAACAGCCGAGTCCTCAGGTACCCCATCTCTGACAATGATTCTCATCCCATTCTCCCCCTTTTGATCGACCAGCACAATTCCTGCTGAACGTACTTTACCCGGCCACGTGCTCTGGAATATTTAGCCAGGTAGTAAAATACTACGTATGCTTGCGTTGGGTACGTTCCCAGGCCCCAAGTCACTGACGATGTGGGAGACATTTAGGCTAAAATGCCCAGTTATAGGCCATTCGTGGAGACTCGATGCCCACTCTATCATTCAAAAGAGTAAGTAATACTTGACTGAGTAAAAGTGCTCGACCCATTCCATGTAATTTCCCCCACATATTTCTTAGCAGATTATCTGGGGGAACACTCGACTCTTGTTCTAACCCCAACCACCCCCGCATGACCATGTGGAGAGAATGGATTCCCCGTTGTAAGTCTGGGGAGAACCACAAAATACACCGCCGGCGTCGGTCTCAGCAACACCGAACACGATCATGATGCTGCTATGGTAACAGGAGAAATACACACACACCTATAATTACAAGGGAATTTCTTTCCTCTTTTCAAGTACCAGGAAACCCTGACAAAGACTGCAGGGAAATTCAACAAGGCAATGAATAAGATAGAGAGAGAAAAAGAGAGAAAAAGAGGAAAGTCATGGCTCTCCTCCTCCTCCTCCTCCTCCTCCCCTGCAAGGGAATTCTTTAGCGAGACGGCACATGGTGCCGACCCAGCAAATCATGATTGCATCCGAGTCGTGGGACTCTTTGTCCGTGGGCTAGATGGATGACCTCAGTCCCTACATACTGTAAATCCGGGCTAAAGATACTGCAATAATTAATGAGAATAAAATAAATAATAATAAATACTTCCTCCCCTTTTAACCTCACCATCCTACTCTCCTCCCCTCCCCTTCTTTTTCCTCTTCTTTTCTTCGGTCTACCATCAGGTCTTCCCCCTCCGACCATGACCATGCTGTGCAGACTCCTCCTCCCCCTCCTCCTAATCCTCGCAGCAGGCCCAGCCGCGGCCGAGGATGGTCTCGCTGCCTGGCTCCGCTACGCACGCATCCCCGACGCAGCAGACCATGTCAACAGCATCCCCTCGACCGTGGTGGCCCTCAGCACCAACCAGTCCAGCCCCGTGTACACGGCCGGCGTGGAGCTGAAGCAAGGGCTCCTGGGGATTCTGGGCAAGTCCGTCTCGGTGACCACTTCTCTTGCCCTCTCTTCCTCGCAGCAGCAGCAGAACGCCTCGACGTCTTCCATCACAGTCGGCACTTTCGACGCCTACACCCAGGCAGGCGGTGCGGCTACCACCGCCAACACATCCGCCCTTCTCCTCCAGGGCGATGGGTTCTGGCTCGACACGACACAGGACGACAACGTCCTCATCCTCTCCCACACGGAACGAGGCGCCCTCTACGGCACCTTCACGTACCTCGCAAAGCTGGCCCAGGGCAACTTCACGCCCGTCGCCTACGCCAGCAACCCCAACGCGCCCGTCCGCTGGGTGAACCAGTGGGACAACCTCGACAGCAGCATCGAGCGCGGCTACGCCGGGGCCAGCATTTTTTTTGCGGACGGCGTGGTGCGGCAGAACCTGAGCAGGGTCGCCGACTATGCCCGCCTGCTGGCCTCGGTGGGGATCAACGGTCTGATCGTGAACAATGTGAATGCCGACGAGAACATGCTCAACGACACCAACGTCGCGGGGCTGGGCCGCATTGCAGACATCATGCGGCCCTATGGCGTGCAGGCCGGGATCTCGCTCAACTTTGCCAGTCCCAACGCCACCCTGGGCACCTTTGACCCTCTCGACCCGGCCGTGCAGGCGTGGTGGACCAACATCACAGACTACATCTACCAGACGGTGCCGGACCTCGCAGGGTTCCTGGTCAAGGGGGACAGCGAGGGCCAGCCCGGTCCCCTGTCCTACAACAGGACGCTGGCCGAGGGCGCCAACCTGTTCGCCAGGCCCACGGCCCCCTACGGCGGCGTCATCATGTACCGGGCCTTTGTCTACAACGACGAGCTCAACGAGACGGACTGGTACGCGGACCGGGCCAAGGCCGCCGTGGACTACTTCCAGCCGCTCGACGGCCAGTTTGACGACAACGTCGTGGTGCAGATCAAGTACGGCCCCATCGACTTCCAGGTGCGCGAGCCCACCAGCCCGCTCTTTGCCAACCTGGTCGACACCAACGTCGGCATCGAGCTCGAGGTCGCCCAGGAGTACCTGGGCCAGCAGTGCCACCTGGTCTACCTGCCGCCCCTGTGGAAGACGGTGCTGGACTTTGACCTGCGCGTCGACAACCAGACCTCGCTCGTGCGTGACATTGTCGGCGGCCGCCGCTTCAACAGGACCCTCTCTGGCTCTGCCGCTGTCGTCAACGTCGGCATGAACGCCACCTGGCTCGGCAGCCACCTGGCCATGTCCAACCTGTACGGCTATGGCCGTCTCGCCTGGGATCCTGCTCTCGACCCGGAGCCCATCCTCCAGGACTGGATCCGCCTGACCTTTTCGTCCGACGACACTGTTGTCGACACACTCACTGAGATGTCCATGTTGTCCTGGCCCGCCTATGAGAACTACACGGGCAACCTGGGCATCCAGACCCTGACCAATATTCTGGGCAACCATTATGGGCCTAAGCCTCAGTCGCAGGATGGAAATGTAGGCTGTCTCTCTCTCTCTCTCTCTCTCTTTTCTTTCTCTTTTCTGCCCCCTCTTCTTCCTTTATTGCATACATTTCCATCCTTCATCTCTTGACTGACTCTTTTTTTTCTTTCTTCTTTCTTTGCCCTTCGTTCTAGGGCTACTGCCAGTGGACCCGCGCAGGCCCAACAATGGTAGGCATGGACCGCACCGTCTTCAACGGCACAGGCAACGGCACAGGCTACAGCGCCCAGTACCCGCCCCAGGTGTACCAGCAATACGAGGACATAGCCACCACTCCCGATGACCTGCTTCTCTGGTTCCACCACGTCCCCTGGACCCAGCCCCTCCACTCGGGCACCACCGTGATCCAGCACTTCTACGACGCCCACTACGCCGGCGCCCAGACCGCTCAGGACCTCGTGCGCATGTGGAGGTCCCTCGAGGGCCGCCCCGGCGTCGACCCCCAGCGCTACGGCGAGGTCCTGCACAGGCAGGTCTACCAGGCCGGCCACGCCCTCGTGTGGCGCGACAGCATCGTCGACTTCTACTACAACATGACCTCCCTCCCCGACGCCCAGGGCCGCGTCATGCACCACCCCTACCGCATTGAGGCCGAGGACATGACCCTCGACGGGTACGAGATTCTCTACGTCGAGCCATTTGAGGCCGCCAGCGGGTACAAGGGCATCATGACCACCACCAACGACACCGCCGGCACTGCCACCGCCCTGGTTTCCTTCGACACTGGTGTCTATGACCTCGCTGTCAACTACTTCGACGTCATCGGTGGCAGGGCCCGCTGGGAGGTCTTCCTTGGGAATAGGTCCGTCGGCTCCTGGGTCGGCGATATGGAGGACACTCTAGGCCACGCCCCGAGCCAGCTTCCCGATGAGAGCGCCGCCACCAGGATCACCTTTACGGGCGTCAGCGTCACCAAGGGTGAGGAGCTCAAGCTTGTGGGGACCCCCGAGGGTATCGAGGCTGCTTTTGTGGATTATGTCAGTTTCCTGCCGCAGGGAATTATAGACTAGAAAGAAAGAAAAGAGAGAAAAGCCACACACCTTATTTGGGTATGGCCGAGACGTAGGAGTGCAGGGGAGAATAAAGGAAAAAGAAAAAGAAAGAAAAAAGGAGAAAAGGGAAAAAAAAGTGATCCAAAGTTCTTAGCGTGCAGTAGCAGCTTCATTGCTTGCAGACCCGTCTGTCAAAGTAGCCGGTGCTTTTGGCTCTTGTGCTTGTGCCTCATACCTAAATTCCAGTGTCAGCTGTCCCTTTTCTTCTTCTTTTTCTTGTCCACCAAGAAAGTACACATGTTCATCGCACCCCTCAATAAAACACCATCCAACCAACCCACATCATGGAGGGTGGTGTCGTGTTGGGGGGCGGGAAAAGGGGGTCATCCGCACATCGTGTTCCCGCGAAGATCTGAGACACGGCACCCTCATCAGAGACATGGTGTCTGCACTTTGATAGTGAACTGTACCGCTCGACCGACCCCCGCGCCGCTCACGCTCAAAGTACACGTTACACCATCACGGTCACACTGCATCGATCGGTGGCACAGGGTGTGTAGGTTGTGGCGCCCTTGGCATCGGAACAACGTCCGTTGCTGCCCGGCAAAAAAAACTCGATGCCAATTTTCTAAAGTTACCCCCCGTGTATAGACTGTCATGGCTTGTACATGATGACGCAGTGTCCGCCCGCCCACCCTCCAGCTCTCTCGATACGAGCACGGCTGCCAGGAAGGAGGAAGGGAGCGGTGCGAGGGCGGAGAGTAGTCCCAATATGCAATATGAATGCCAAGCGAAAGTGACGTGAAGAAGATGAGACAAAAAGAAACCCAAACCATCCCAACAAGAAGATCACCCGCCCATCCCGCTGACCATGACCGGACTGGTACCGCGCTTAGGAAAAACTCCGAGCAAACTCCAACCAAAATAAACGAAACGACAACGGAAATAGAAACCGTCCACCCCATACAAAGTCAGTAAATACAACGCTATAGATCCCCGAGTAGATAGATGGTAGATGCAGAAATGAAGGATAAAAGAACACGAAAAAGCAAGACGAAACGAAAGAACAAAAAGGTGGAGGAAAATCATTGTCGACCAAAATAACACACGCCATTTTACTCCTGAGTAGCTATGCTTTAAAGACAGGAAGCCAAGCTGGATCGCTGAGGCTGGTATTTTCGAGAAGCGAAGCTGAATATCTGGCCTGACAAGCCCAGCGAGGGCCGAGAAGAAAAACAACGGGGCTTGCCTGGATGCAATTGATGAAGGTGGGCGTGTTGGTTGATGAGGCAAGTTCGTAGGATAGGGTGATGAATGTGGCCTGGTCGTATGTCGAAATGAGGGGAAGGATGTTGGCGATGAGTTGACATTCGCTAGGCGTAAAGGCTGATCAATTGCGAAACATCGGGAGATGATCAACAGCACAGGACATCGCATCCCATGCTCTTGGCAAGGTCCTGCCAGTCCCAGACGCGTCCCCATTCACCGCGCGCCATGCAGCCCCAGACTTCTTCCAGGAGCTCATACACCCGCTCCGAGTTCCTCAGGCCCGTGTACCCCTTGACCGTCTTGACAGCAGCCCGTATTCGATCCTGTTGTGTAGGGGAGAAACATGCTGTGCCAATGACGAGACATGGGATTAGGAGAAGCTTCTGAGAAGGGTCGCTGGGCTTAAACGAGTCGAGTATGGAGAGTGACTCCTCAACGGCAAGAGTGATCCTGGGGTCATGATTGGGGGGATGGCGGGAAGGCGGGGGCGAGGTGGTGCCGTGTTGATACTGGCGAGTCGAGTCGAGGCTTGACGTGTGCTGGTGGTGTCTGGCGGGAGGAGGGGGAAGCGGGGAGATGCTGTAGTTGGCGATGGTGTGGCGACGAACAGGCTGGGGATGCACAGTTGATGCCGACGTGCGAGGCCGCATGGACGGCGAGGAGCAGCTGCTGTTGTGTCCGGAAGTAGGAGGCGTGTGGGCCGCTCCAGAGCCGGCAGCAGAACCGTGAAACAGGGACACGTTCGCCGACGACGGTGGAGACATGGGCGAGGGCGGGTAGATTGTGCGGAACAGATAGACCCACATCATCTGCTTGTATAGAAGCGAAACACGATCTCTGCTGTCTCCGGGTGGCCAGCATGGCTGCCAGTCCCGGATCGCTGCATCGATCTCGGCTGCTCGATACAGACTTGTGTAGTCCACAACAGGGTCCACGCCAGCGGCCATGTTGGATCGGATGGTGTCCCTCAGCGAGGTGATCTGGCACAGGTAGTTGAACAAGCCATCTGCGACACCCAGCAGCCGAGGGGGGTGTATGCTGGTAATAGGTGCCCAGTCAGCCGAGGCCAGCCTCGGAGTGAGTGGCTGAGGAAAGCGGATGAGCTCGTCGGCAAAGATGTGGTACTGGAAGAACTCCATGATGAAGGAAAGAAAGGCGGGGTCCTCTGGCGGGGAGTGTTGGATCAGTCTCTGGTAACCACCAAGGTGCACCCTGTGCTCGCCACGGGGGTTGCCCTCTGCAAGTGCCTCGAGAAGCAGGCAGATCATCTGACCGTAGCGGGCTGACAAGATGGTCGAGTACTCTGGGTCGTCCCTATTAGCGCCCTGGGAGCGGGCGATGTCCTCGTAGAATTTTTCCATGGCCTTCTCATGGTGGTAGTCCGACCTCTGCCGGAGTGCCTCGAGTGTGGTGTTGGGATTGTCCTTGAGGATCTTGAGGCCGTAGGGTGTTTCGAAGTCAAGATGTTTGCTGGCAAGTGCGAGGATGGAGTGCATGAGGCCCCGGTGTTTCGTGGCAATGGGGATGAGCAGATCCTTGAATGCGTTCTTGTGCTCGCCCTCGACGGTGAGGACTGTGCTGAGGTGGGCGTGGTAGTGCTTCCAGAAGATCATGTCCTCTGCATTCTCCAGGCCGTGGAAGAGGGACTGCATGGTGATGACAGGCAGGGGGTTGGCGCGGTGCGAATGTCCTGAATCGGCCTGGTCAGCATACGAAGTCATAAGTCGTCACGCCACCACTGGCGTCTGCGTACGCACCTTCGGCAAGTCTATCCTTGCCACTTCTCCATATCTGCTTCTCCGGATAGCCCTCACAGACGACGGCATTCTTCTCGCAGTTCATGCCTGGAGGAAAATGTTAGCCTGGTAGCCTCGACCATTGCGGGGACGAGAACTTTGAGACACGTACATCTTGGCTTGGCCTCGTCGCACTTCTTCTTACGCTTCCTGCAGGTTAGGCACCCGGTCTTGGACCGACCCTTTGTGATCTTGTTCGAGGCAGAGGCAGGGGCCAATGGGTGCTTTCGAGGTCGGCCTCTAGGGCGCTTCGGCTTCGGCTGGGTCATGGTGGGACTGGTGTTGCTCGGGACGGGGGTCGGAGGGGCCTCTTTGATTTCATCCAGGCGGACGTCCTCTTCCATCGGCTCGACCTTGGGCACGGCTAGGCCGTCGTCCGAACCAAAGTCAAAATGAGCGTCAGGGTCGGCCAGGACATGCGTGACGTGAACATCGTCAGAGTTCTCGGGGAAATCTATGCCCCACAGGTCGGTCGTGGAAGACGAAGAAGCCGAGTGCGACATTGGTGGGGCTTGAAACGACTCCGTAGCAGACGAACAGGCGCTGTCGTCAGTGGACGGACAGGCAGGCCCATCCATACCGGTGCTGATGGGCGACAACTGCCCGTTCATGTGTCGGGCGGTGACCGACGACGAGCTCGAAGTGGCAGACGTCGAACCGGATCCCGAATCAACAATGAAGCTCGACGACGCAAGGCTCGGGTGGGAGTGGTCCAACCACTGGGGAGAACGAGACGGCATCATGGGGTGGTGGCTGTGGCTGCTGAAGTCCACGCCTCTACCGTTTTCAGCCGTCCACGATAGAATCCTGTCCTGAGCAGTCATGCGCCTGGAGGGGTCCATACTCGGCGAATGATAACAGATTAATCAACCAGCCAGCCAGCGAGCGTCTAGGCTGTGGCTGATCTGGCTTGAATCAGGACAATGGTGTGCAAAGGGGGCTCTGGTCTTGACAGATAAGACGAGCACTGGGAATGAAGAGTGTGAGGGGGAGAGCAATGGGTGGAGGAGGTAGTGGAGGAGGATATGAGGAGGGAGGGAAAGAACCACGAAGGAAGGCAGACGAGTTGACTATAGATGAGAGAAGAGCTGTGTTGTCTGCCGAGAAGAAGGGGAAGGAAGAAGAAAAAAAAGAGCAAGAAAAAAAGACAGGGTAGAAACAGCCCAGGTGTGGTTGGGCAGTCAATCACGATATGTGTGTTTCGAGAGGTAGGGTGCTATGTGGTCGTTCCGGCGGAGAAAAGACTGGGCCCTGCCTGAGATGCAGTATGGAGTGGAGCCCAAATGGAGACGTAGCTCGAGATGCAGGCGAGGCAAGAGGTTGGCGCGCAGTAACGTCGTCGAGTCGTCAAGTGGTCCCTTGGCCGATCTGAAGTCGCAAGTGGGATGGGGCTGCGGTACGAGAGGTCAGGTTTACCAGAGCGGCATCGATCATGAGACATGAGATGAGGATCAACCTGGCGGTATTCAGTCTGGTCTGGTCTGTCCTCTTCCTTTCTCTTCTTCTCTTTCACGGCAGTCTAGATGAGTGAGAGGGGGGAGAGGGAGAAAAAGAAGGGGGGGGAAGAAGACGGCAAGGAAGAGCAGCCAACGATGTCTCTCGTCTTGCCTCTGACGGTCGACTTGTCCTCTAGGTTCCCTGGTCGTGAAGGTGGTTGAGGTTGGGCCCTAGTCAACAGCCTCGTGACTGCCTAGGGAAGCAGCGTAGAGGGATATTGGGAACAGGGTTGGACTTGTCTTGCAGATGCAGGCCGTTGTGATGGAACGCTCGAGAGGTCGACGGGAACACGATCATGAATATGGTGTGGAATGATCCGGTTGGAGGGGGAGGCGGGTAGAGATCTTATTGTGGTAGTCCCCCTGTCCCGTGTGTGTGTGCTGTGTACCATAGTATGTTGTGCGCCCTGCCTGTCTCGCCTGTCCCATTCTGCTTGAGGGAGAGAAGAGGTAGGTATCTGTCGTGAATGGTAACCCGTACCCGGTAGGCCGTGGACCCTGTACGTACTCTACGCCCTCGCTCGAAGCCGCCCATGTCCCTGTTGCAGATAATCCTGCCCTCGTCGATACCCACTGGTGACATGACCAGGGTAGTCGAGAAGGAGGGGTCGGTGGATATAGCTGATGCCATGCTAGAGATCGGTTGGCTGGCTGGGCGGTTGCGTGTAGACTGCGAATGGTGCCAGGTGTCGGATACAGGAATATTTACTGGAGACCACCCAGATAACATCGATGTACCGTAATAGGCCGTAGCAGAGCTTTGAGCAAGGCTATCCTTGACGATGCTACTCCAGCCCTTCTGATGCGAGAAGGGTCCTCGCCCAGGTCTGACGACATTATTGAGGAAGGGGGGGGGGGGTGACAGGAGGGGTGTGTGTGTGGAATTTCTCCGAGATCTTCCGTCGACTCTGTCTCTGTTGGAAGGGTGGAGATACTAAGCAAGTGCTTGGAATGATGAGAGCGATAAATTGGTGGTGGTGCTGATGATGGCGGTGAGGGCGAGAATGAAAATGAGGACGAGACGGAATGACAGTCAGTGTCGAGAGGTAAACGTGGTGATATGTTGGGAGGGGAGGAGAAGAAGAAGAAGAAGAAGAAAACAAGAGGTACAATCTCTTACTGCTCACCTCTCTTGCTGCTTCCTTTTCTTCTCCTTCTTCTTCTTCTTTTTTTTCTTCTTTTTTTTGGGGGGGGGGGGGGCAAGTACACTGAATATATTGAATGCGGGGTCTGGGTCTCGAGTGGAAGGCGCCACGGGGTTTCCCGTCTTTCCTTGCTTTTTCCCTTGGCTTGGTCACCAAAACTCCTACGAGGTGTGCACGGTGCACGGTGCAGCTGGTGGCTGTCCGCACCTGATCATACAGTACCATACAGTGTGAGGCTGCACTACTGTGGTAGTACATACTATAGTACCTCCTTCCATTCCTCGACACAGGGCATATTCAGCAGCCACGAGACGATAACGCCTTCTCTCACTCGGTCTCTGCATCTTTTCTTCCCACTCCTTCTTGTTCTCCGCTCTCTTCATTCTATCTCGCCAGAGTCTAGACCCATGTCTCATGCCGGCGACGGTGCAAACATTCCGCAGACAGGTTGACTGCATACTACAGCCACCCCGCCAGGTTGAAATACTATGTACTCTTCCTGCGATGGCTTTTGCTTGGCGCTCTCCTTCCCACGCTTTAGACCTATAGACCTAACGCTACTTGGCAGGCCGCATGATCTGCAATGCACTGCACGCTCGTTTCAGTTTAGGCCAAACCAGCACACCAAGTCCTGAGGCATGTGAACGCTGGGCAGCAATGGCCCGGGGCGGTACACAGCATCAGGCTCTTCTCGCGCTTTGCGTTGAGAACTGGCTCTTTGGTACAGAAGCTCGCAAGACCAGACAGCGTCCAGTCCAGTCTATGACGAACCGCCAGACCATGATTTCAGCCACGTCGCCAATGACTTGGACTGCAGCCATGGAGTTTATTTTTCTTGGTGGCCGTGCTGTCATCATGTTGTGCCGTAGCATGCTGCGCCATGCATTTCAGGCACCATTCTATCGTCCGCCTTGGAGAAGAAAAGTCAGTGGACTATCTACTTTAGGCTTGAAACATGTCCAGATGGCGAGCTGCCAGCTCAGCTATGCCTGCCCTCGACGCCGTCCCTTTGCAGTGTCTGCAACTGCCGCTAGATTTGCTGCAGAGGAGCCTGATGCTGGGCCGAGATGCATCAAGGTGTGTTGAGATGGGCTGAGGCGCCTTGAAAGATTCTTCCTCGACATAAGCTCTCTCCCTCCGATTCTGCATATGTACTATGTAGGGCCCCTCGAGTTCCCCCACCTCTCCCCCGTCCTCCTTGCCCGCTTCGTCTACGCCCCGCTAACATCTGTCGTACATACATAGAGGGTACATTTTTGCGTGTCCACACATGCTTGGGGCCCCAGCGTGCCCCTCCTTTGTGCCCCTCCACACCTTCTTTTGCATCCCCCCTGGTCGTTGCAGGCTGCACAAGTGCACACATTCCAGATTTGCAGTGGTCCTGTCGCCGGGGTTTCAGGGCTTTTCGACAGGGTCGTGCGCCAGGCGCTGCTCCGTGCACCAGGCGCTGCTCCGTGCACCAGGCGCTGCTCCGTGCACCGACAGGGCCCCCAACCAACCGACCGTTTCTCCTCTCCACTGGTGCCAGCACACGATGGATGTCCTGGCCAGAGACACGAAATCGCGGCTGATCTTGGCTCCATCACGAGTGCAACGCATTATCACCATGACCAGGAGGCTCGCACCTCGAGGCAGTTTTTCTCTCCTACCACTGGAGGCGGAGGCTTGCAACTAACAGTATGTATACAATTTCACCTGGCCAGAACGCACCCAGCTAGTCCAATACCTTGGGAAAGTTCGGCTGTTCGACGAAGTGATGATAAAACCCGTCGGGAAGCTTAGCGATTCCTGTTCTCCCTCTGCTCGCTTCAGCGACGCTCGAATACACCTGAGTGCCATCGTGGGCTTCATGCAGTAGGCGTCTAAGCTCATAACGGCATTTGGGCGACAATTCCCCAGGTCTGACTCGGTGGGAAAGCAACAGCCCCCCCTCCCCAAAAAGAAACATCATCATGGACCGCGTACAGTACATACATGCCAGGTCTCTGTAGCATGATATTATCTAACTGCTCCCATATTTTGTGGTGATCATCCCGACATACCCCGGTATTGTTTGTCTAGACTTTCACGGGACATGCTTGGGTTGCATAACGTCTTGAGACTCGTGGCCAACAACCTCGAATCCTCGGAGGCACGTATCGCATCCCCGGTCCTGACCTCCCTTGGTCGAGGCCAGCTCGGACTGGTTGGTGGCTGAACCCTGTTTTTGATGCGCCACACCAATCTCTGCCTCGAGTCTTTGGTTCTGTCAAAAATAGCTCCGAGCATCCTTTCCTGTCGTGCAACTGCAGGCTGGCCTCCTGCAATCTTGAGGGGGGGTCTGGTTCAAGCAGGCGACCACCTGATGACTTGGGCCGGCCATGGATGGCTTGCCAGTGAGCTGGGTGCTGGTCAGCTGCGGAGACAACTGCCAATTGCGGCACAGCAGAGAGCCTCAATCTTGCTCTGCCGCTCCAAGGTTCGATACAATTACGCATTGATCCATGACCGCCTTGTGCGCACTGGGTGTGCCCATTCGTCCTTTTGACTCTATGTCAGAGCCCGGAAAGGCCGCCGAGAGGCGAAGCCGTTCCGCAGTGTGTGTGCAGATCGCCGAGTACCGCCAATGCGCCACGGCTTTTTGCGGCGCGAGCACCTGCAGCTGCGTAATTCTGAGGAACATGTCTCACTGCTGAACCTGCAGATGAGGGTCAAACAACGACCAGGCGCCGCTCAAGCTCATCTGGAACGTCTCCAAGTTCGTCACCGAGCGAGTCTCACGCCCATCTTCTGGTGCCTTAATACTTGCACACGGCTCCGTCCTGGCAGTTCAGACCTCTTGCATCTGCGAACAGGTTGTGGCAGGAATTTACGGCCGGCCTC